GGTACAGTTTACAGCGGTGTATTAACTGTACCAAAACCAAGACTCTTCAGAGAAGGTTTAACCTCAGACGGTGTGACTGGGAGGACTGGAACCAATGTTTTACAGTGGTTGCATCCCAAATGACACCCTATTCTCTATATAGTGCACTACTTTTGGCCAGAGCCCTATGGGCGCTGGTCAAAAGTAGTGCACTATAAAAGGAAGGGTGTTATTTAGGACGCAGACAGTGTCTCCTGGGCATGGGTACAGACTACAAACTCACCACTACTGGAGGAGGATCAAACTGGAGCGTGGTCTGAAGATACCACAACGTGACATATTACCCTCTGACCACAAAACATTACAGTATTAGGCTACACCAACTAATAGGCACTTTTTCTAAAAGGAACTCTTTACTTTGATGAGGTCATCTCAATTAGGGCTGCACAATTCTGGTAACTCCTAAAATTCCCAGGTTACCAGAAATCCAGGTTGGAAGATTCCTGGAGTAAGGAGGGAATAAGCTGGGAGTCCAGGAACCCTCCAACCGGGATTTCTGGAAAACCTGAAAAATTTGGGAAAGTTACCCCAATTTCCCAACCTTAATCTCTGATGACAACCATCTTTGTTCATATCTGTCAGATTACTCTCATCAAGTTGAATGAGTGATTACCATAGAAGTTGTGAGGAAAGAAATTAAATTGTATTCCATTCAAACACGTTTTTTGTCAATTTTAAGAGCAATCCATACTGAATTACACGTACAACAGACAATAGCGGCTCCTTGGAATTATTTCTGCTTGGACTATGAATTTGTATGCAATCTTTCATCTTTTACATCATAAGAACCAAATTGAAATGTAAATAAAAATACATAAAGCACAGCCAAAAATCATATCCATCACTTTCCTTGAAAGTGCTCTAAACCAGAAATGCACTGAAGCATTTGACTCCCGTCTGGAAAGAGTCACCGCACCAAACGGCTGTATTTGTTGGTTTGGACGACTGAACGGGGACTCTGCTTCCTACCATATGGTTCCACTTTCCAACAGAGCCAATGCCCTAAAGGCTACCCACTTTTTTTGTTTTGTACTTTCTTTCTTTCTCAACCGAACGTTCTCGATTTAGAAACAGATTTAATAGAACCCAGGCTGCGTCTCAACTGGCACCATGTTCCCTACATAGTGCAATACTTTTAGCCCAGATCCTTATGGGTTATAGGGAATAGGGGGCCATTTGGGATGTAGCCCCAGACTCACTTGACCTCCCCCATCTGGTACAGGCAACAGTTAAGTGTGTGTTCTAACTGCCATTGTTTTTATGTCAACATTTCTTTTTTACAATAGGTGTAAATCGACATGGTAACTGGGGAGGTTTATAGAGCGAAGCACTGTGAAAATCTGCGCTGGATTTACTCACACCAAGGTTCCTGCAGACGAGACAGCCTTCTAACCTTCAGTTAGTTAGAGATCGACAGAGAGAGAGGACCACATGAATACCTGCCTTAGTTGTGTTTATGCAGGAGTATCTCTGTTTACAAATTAAAGATCTAATGCTGACGTTTTTATGTCAATATCAAATCATTTCTGGGTAACTAAAGTACCTTACTCTGATTGTTTTCAATTAAAATGGTCAATAATAAACAAAAATAGCTTCTTAGCAAAATGCCATTTCTCAAGCAAGAATTTAGCTAGGACTGTCTGGGAGTGGTCTGAGGGGTCTAATTGGAGGAGCCTAATGGGAGGGATGCGTAACCTGAAAACTAGATGTAATTGGCAGAGAGGATAATATTGGTCTATTAACTTATACCGCCTGGTGATGTCACCAGGTGGTCCAAAACCCCAAACCAGCCAAACAAAACCCCCACCCAGCCAGGACATCCAGCCAACTTGACATAACCGTGGGAAGCATTGGAGTCAACATGTGCCAGCATCCCTGTGGAACGCTTTCGACACCTTGATTAATTGATTGAGGTTTAACTAGCTACCTCTTGATCTCTGTCCCAAATGGCAACATATTCCCTATGCACTACTCTATGGGCCCTGGTCAAAAGTAGTGCACTATATAGGAAATAGGGTGCAATTTGGGATGCAGCCTCTGTCTGCCGATGTAGGAAACAATGAGAAGGGCATCCTCATTTCCCCTGGGGTTGGTCCTCTGTGACACTGCATTTACAGACAGAGACATAGTAGAGCTAAATAGAAACCAGGAGATATGGAAGAGAGATCCCATTGAGACATGTGAGATGTAGGTTACAGAGAGACACAGACAGACAACACAACACTACATAGCAGACATTAGGCCTGAACATGAGTCATAACCCGCTTCACTTAGTGTTACCTCGTGTTATGAAAGTGTGTGTGTGTGTGGAGGAGAAATGATGTCCACATACAGTATGGAAGATTTCCCTTCAACTAAACAATATCTGACAGTCTCCCATGCACTTATGGTATAACTGGAACCATGACAATTATTAATATGATAAGTGGAACAAGTCTTGACATTACTTTATATAAAACAGGAATGGAAAATTATCAAAATACTTGAAGATCCGATAGCTAGACATAAGATTTGCCATCTAATAACCAGGAAACGTGGATTTCGAAATTCCCAGCTTGTTTGTTGTTGACAAATCAGTTGCTATTTGTTTTGTCTTGCTGTAGAACAACTTGAGCGGTTTTTCCTACTTGGGGACACACAGTAGAGAGAGCCATGATAGATTATGCCCCCGACTTCAGGGGTTAGAGTTCATTGAAGAAGACAAACTCTGTGCCAGGATAATTGGCTGTGTTTATCTATTACGGTTTCCTTTCTCAGAGTAGAGAAACAATGGTTGATGTCAATGGGTGCAGATTCACTGACGCAGCCAGGCAGACAACTCCCATACATTATGTGTAATGTGTATATCCTTGGGAAGCGTTCCAGCCTCCCTACTGTTTAACAAACAATAAATTAACAGGTCAGCAGCAGCTATGATGATGACAGGCAGAAGAGAGTGGTTGTCTCCCAAATGGCACCCTATTCCCTAGTACAATACATTTGACCAGGGCAATTGGGCTCTAGTTAAAAGTAGTGCTCTATATAGGGAATAGGGTGCCATATGGGTCTATCCCATGTTCCATATAAGCTACACTGTGTTTATTATAACATGTTGTATGAAATCACAGGGGACATAAATGCCTAGTGTAATTTAACAAGATATGCACCAGTCATTTCTTGAATAATCATCTGATCTGACCAATCAATTATCTGACCAGTATACTGTTATTTTACAGATAAGAGAAGGCTAAATGAAAAATACACAATGTGTGGCTATTCATATTTTTCTATATAAATGTGGTGAAATGCCCTCGAGTCCAGTGAAGTGTTGTGCGATAGCATGTCCTGTTGTGAGGTCATGGGAAGTGAATGTGATATTTCAGGCTTCATCACCTCGTTTCCTAGTAACACCCCCTACGGTGACTGTGTCACACCACACCTAGTGACACCTCTCCTCTCGCCTTGGAGACACATGCAACACCTCTCCTCTAGCCTTGGACTACGTTCTCACGGGGCCTTGTCCAAACAAAGGAAACAGCTTTGTCATTTCCCCCTGCACCTTGAGGGCAAACATCTCACCTCACCAACGTAACCTCCCAAACATTGTATTGAAAGCAGCTCTTGGACTGTGTGAAATGATCATGTGCACGCGGGCGTGTGGACAAAACCATTTGAAAGCATAATTAATCTTACTTGTGTCAATGTTAAGGGTTAAGAGCCTCACTCATTTTGGAAATTAGCTATTTGTTTGAGTTTCTGAAATCTCTGCTAACATGAAGGAACACTTTTGGCGGGGATAAAGGTGAAGATTAACCAATGAATAGTGCACAAATTCTTAAATGTAATTCTATTCAGGTAAAATTTCCATAACACACACAAAAACATTTAATCAAATTAGGCTTATGCAGACGAGGAGATGCTACAATAGTTGCTACAATAAAACCATGTAATTTACCACAGCTCGTTTCAAGCCCATTCTCATTTCAAATCATTCTCCAGACTGAGGGACAATTTCAGTAGGTCATTTCAGTACAGAACTGTCATCTGAAGAGAAAACAAAAATATATACAAAGAAGCAATAAAGAGCTATTTTCCTTCGGGAATGTGAAACAAAATAGTCTCTGTCGAGGTCAGTTACGGTCTCTCAAATCTAAACAAACACCATGTATTTTAAGGTCTGGTTTCTGTTTCCATACTGATTCCAGCAATCTAAAAAGTCTTATGTCTCGACCCAAATATTTAGACATAAAACAAATTATACGGTCAAATGTCATTTCAGTTTCTCTATGATACGGTTCAGTATTTTCTCTTTCATATATAATTGTTTCTGTTCTCTACAGTATTCACAGTTTCTGAGCACCAAGGTGTTGTGTTGGGCTCTGTTGGGCTCTGTATGTCGTTGAAAGACTTGTTGCCTGTCCTCCCAACACTGTTTCACACAAGCATAAGATCCAATGAGGCTGTGTTGTTTTGGCCTGTGTTGGGGGTTTATGGTTATGGTGGGTTGTTTTGGGCTGGGTCAGACTCTGTATTTGCACACATAGGACATGTCTGATTACGTTATACTAAGTGGGTGAAAGACAACATGATGTGTCACTGTCCTCAGAGTTCCTCTGGCCCTGGCAGTAATGCAGTGAAAGCTGCTAGCTGATTGACAATAATTGCCTCTTATTTGAAAGACTTTGAGTGAGAGTGAAAGCTGGGGAGAATAACAGTTTATTTTCTATGATGCTATATTAGTGTACATCTGGAGAGGTCACTGTACGTTGAGTCCAAAGATACAGGCAGAGAATGAACGTCTGTGGTGCATATTGGAGGGTGTGGTGTCAGAAGTTGGATTGGAGCATGGGACTGGAGTCATACTTTTAAACAGCAAATTAGGGTTTGGCAATGTCAGTTCCTGTGTTTTCTTATGTTGTTGTAACATCTGGAGTCAAAGCAGGCAGTATACGCTGGGGGGTTGTGTGTGTGTTGTGTTGTGTTTATTGGATGGGGTTGCTCTTGTCCACAGATCTTCTCCCACCTCCCCTACTGAAGGTCCACTTCCCGTTCCCCTGCTGGATCCCGTTGTAGAGCAGGGCATCAGACAACACTCTCTTCTGTGGAGGAAATAAGAGACAAAACATGACATTAAAATACACACTTATGATGAGCAATACAGTATTTCACACTGTATAGCAGTACAGAGGCGTCATGCTCATCAGGGGCACGTGCACCCTCAGATTTGTCCTGTAAAAAATAAATATTATAATTATACAATTGTAATTACACATTTGTTTTCCCTCTGTAATACTACTAACGACTTAGCAATTTTAGGAAGTTGGCTTTAGCTATCCCAGATAGGTTCCCAATCTCCCAACCTCATAACTATCTACCAAGAAGCCATTTCAGGTTATCAATCAAGTTATAGTAGCTAGCTTGTCTATCTTAGCTGGGATGCCTGCTGGCAAGGTTGGTAGACTTTAGAAAAGCAAGCAATAACTAAATGTACAAATAAGACTAACATTCCTTTCAATCTTTTACCCAGATGTGAGCAGAGAAGCATATTTTGTTTCTTTAAAGAAATAACCACCAGTCAGGAGGATACAGACAGCTCAAGAGGTATGCTTAGATATGCAGAAAAATATGCAGAAAAACATATTTTTTACATAAAATTAAGCATAATGATTATGGCTGTAGATTGCAGGAAAAGGCTATTTCAGGTGTTTGAAAAATGCGAAATTCTCCAACTTAAGGACGGGGGGCATAGCGCCCATACGGACCACCCCTCATCTATCCTCACATACTTTGTACCTCCTCAGATTGTTTAGGTGCATGACGCCCCTGGCAGTATATTTCACTGTATGCCCAGTGCTAAAGATCAAAAGCACCAATCAATGGAGCGTTATTACATTGGTCTATGGCATCCCACACAACATGGAGCTGATTATAGGAAACAGATAACCAATCATACATTGTGTGAGGGTGAGATATAGACGTCTAAACAGATATGTGTGAGCAGACAAATCACAGATCAATAGCAATTTTGTTCATGAACACAAATGTCCAAAGGGCCATCACGTTTAAAGTTTGCAATGATTAAAGTGAATGCATTCTGTCTGTTGATTAATTTAGTCTTTCTGACGCCTTTTCCCCCGCTCGACACGCACACACGCTTTCCCACTATATCATCATGTATTTGTTAGGATTTCTTTATTTTGTGTGGATTGAGTAATATTTTGAGGGACTCAAAACCTTTAATAATAAAATGTAATTGGCACATTCTGAAAGGAAAAGCTGATTAACATTTTGTCGTTGTCTGGTGAAATTTCTAAGTAATTAATTTTTGGAATGATTCGTCCATATTCTCAAGGGCATGACACTTGCAATCATGGTAGTGTCCCATAAGACTGTTTAGCGATCTGAGCTAAAAACTGGGCATTAGCTCAGGGAGCTAATGGAAGTCTTCAGGTCTCAAGCAAGGTTACTCATCAAGTGAGCATTGTTCACTGAACTACCTCTGTTACCTAGGAGTACAGTGTGTTTCAGGTGCTGTCTGTTTCTGACTCGGGGAGCTAATTCAAGTCTTTAGGTCTCAGACAAGGTTACATAAGTAAGGAGTAAGAGTCACTGTGTCTGTTTGTGTTTCCTTTCTCACCACACCCACATTCATGCAGATGTCTATAGTACCAGTGACCTGAGTCTAAATAAACCAGCAAGACACAGAACCTCTTCTCCAACCCATGTTTATAACCCACCGCCTGACTTCAACTCCACCTCCCAAAATTACACACACTCAGCCTAGATTACTGAGCATAACATATGAATTACACATCATTTATAGGTGATTCACCCTTGTCCCAATACCTTGGAAACTCCTAACTCCTAAATCTATTTAAAAGGATAAAAGAGTTCCGATATTTGGCCAAAAAAGGGTTGTTGCGTCAGAAACGTGAACAATCACAGTGCTATTTATCAGTCACTCTGGGTTCTCCATATGAGATCACAAACAAACAAACAAATCTGTCCTAATTCTGGAGCTGAAAAATAAAGCCTGACGTGTCACCGCAATCAAACAGCCATAATAACTGCCTGTATCCATCAAAGAGCGGCTAGACATGTAAACAGTTGTTTTTCCAGCTCTGTGCTCCTGCTACTGATCGTAAATGATCTAACACCATTCAGCAATGGTAGAGAGAAAATGCCATCAGATGTAGCAAGAACGAAAAGCTTTCAATAGACACATATCCTTCAATTCTGTTTTGGTTTATTCAGTGTCCATTTGACTGTGTAATTATGATAAACAAGTATAAAATACAAGCAATCACTGACACTAGAGCTTTAAATGTATTTTAAAGGTTAAATGGCATGAACCACAGGAAGGTTCAAAAGGCATTTAACATGAGAAGGAGATGGATCTGGCTCCATGCAGAGAGAGGGGCTGCATTAACCTGATGGTGTTGTATAGATAACTTCCATGGACATTGGAAATACAGCACAAACAGATCTGGGATCAGGAAAAGGCTGCATATAAGCGAGAAGCTACAGTGGTGCTACAGTATCGAAGGCCTCACTGTAGAACAACAGGCCGATTCATACCAGTGCAGAACAGCTGACCATGTATTGTACAACAACTTGCTGTTTGACACAACTAGCTACACTTGTCTGTTTTAGCCTTTATGTGTTATCTAGGATGACAACACTCAACACCCTGCTCCCACTGAGCTCTATGTCACTATCAGAACAATGTTCATGACAGCTGATTGTTACGGTAACGATTTGCTTTGTGAGCCTTTCATCAGTCAAGATCCTCCTCTCTCATTGGCTGCAGGACACTGCATGTCGGTTCCTACCACACCCCAACAGGCCGGGGCTCCCAGGCTCCTGTTCGTTCAGCCGAGAAAGCTTGGCAGTGAGACCCAGACCCAGACCACACACACTAAACCAACCCATGACAGAGGTAGACAGCTGGGCCTGATGATCACTTTAGCCTCCTGACAGATAAACTGTATAGTGTTTCTGACAAAACGCACAAAGTGACCCATTCTATTGGCCTACAAGCCCAGAGCTACATGGGAAGGGTCTGAAAGGTTATATTCCTGTGAAACAAGCAGCCAGAGAAAGGGAGGTCGGCCGGCCGGCCTGTCCGTCTGTCTTTATTACGTGGGAGATACACAAGCTGTAGCTGCAGAAAGGTACCTCAGAGAGGATTGCACTGGACCGGTTAGCCAGTTAGCCAGCGTCCATAATGAATTTCCTTCCAAGTAGGGATTTTGCCATGGCAATAACAGAGCAGAGCTACACAGTGGTGTAATCGTCTATGGGAAACTGGCACACACAATGCACGCATACCCGCACACACAAGCGAACATGCGCAAATATACACACACACACACACACACACACACTGTTGATTGAGAACAAAGGCAGACATTGGGACTCAGGCCTGGGAATTAGTTAGGGCTGGCTGCATGGTTGCTGATTCTCAGAAGAAACGTTGTGTTTGTGTTCTGTGTTTGGACAAGGCACAGGGATTATAACTTTACTGTGCGGGGTATTCCATAAGAGCCTAAAACAGAGAGAGACCCTTTTGACACTACTGAGCCGAACCGTACTGTGCTGGGTATTCCATAAGAGCATAAAACAGAGAGAGACCCTTTTCACACTACTGAGCCGAACCGTACTGTGCTGGCTTGTTATTTTCCATTCACATTGTCCTTCACAGCACGGTTCCAGAAACTATGGTGGATGCATAATCAGGCCAGTGAAGTTGTACAGCTCTGTAATTTGAAAAGGCTCAGTAGAGTGAAAAGGCACATTAGTGAGAAAGGGAAAGAAAGTACTGTAACAATATTATTTACTGACGTACTATACTATACACTACACCTTTATGTGGTCCCACTCCTTGTGCCGCTCTTGTCTGATGTACTCCTTGTTAATCTCTTCCTGGAATAAGACAGGGACACGTCATACAGAACCAATTGGTCAACAGTATTCTAGATGAATACAATAGAATATTATTCACTGTTTGAACCAGTGCTTTTCCAGTTGTTCTATAACACAATAGTATCAGGGTAAAGGGAAAGGGTGAATACTGTAAGGTTAATATGTTGGACAAAATGACTGTGCAGTACCTGACTCAACTTCCCGTAAGTCGGCTGTGCTGTTTGTAACATCAGTGCCGATGTCACCGAATCAAGTCCTAAGCAAAATATGAACATAACTCACATTAACGCACAGTAATCAACTCAGTTTTTATTTCCTTTCAAACATCCAACAGTTTAGGAGATTGTATAGGCTACCAGATATGATAGAAGATCATGTGACTAACCTTTCAGAGCATCTGGTTGGATGATCCCTACTTGCACCTCTGTCGCCGTGACGATGCTGCAGGGGGAGGGCTGGTCAAGCAGGATGCTCACCTCACCGAACGATTCCATTGGTCCGAGCTTCCCCACGACAACAAACTTTATCCTGCTGCCCTGGAAACCAACAACCAATGGGGGAAAAATAGCCAAGGCCCAATCATTATTACAAATGACATGTTCCTGGAATTGATATTCCTATTTCCCAGTATAAAATGTAATACAATTATGGTAATCAGTCTTAACCATGTAATTAATATTCAAATCAAGTCCTGCTCCCTCACTCCTTGATTTAGATGAAGTGGTTTTTAATCTAACAGGGAACATGCAGCAGCCTGGAGGAAGGCCTACTGTTACAGTGTGGTGTGTGTGCGTGTGTGTGTGTGTGTTTGTGTGTATGTGTGTGTGTGTGTGTGTGTGTACAGACTGACACCTTCTCCTGCGGGGTCCTCATCAGTGAGTTAATGTCCTGGAGGATGTTACACTCCCCCTCTCGGATGTAGGCCACAAAGTGACACACCTTACCTTCCTTCACCAGCACTACAGAAAGAAGAGTGAAGGAAAGAGAGAAGGAAAGAGAGGAGGAAAGAGAGGAGGAAAGAGAGAAGGAAAGAGAGGAGAAAGAGAGAAGGAAAGAGAAGAGGAAAGAAAGGAGGAAAGAGAGAAGGAAAGATGAGAAAGAGAGGAGGCTGGATGAACCAGCATACAGTAAGTGAGAAGTATGGGTAGGTGTGTGTAACAGAGACTTTGTAAGTATGTTCTGTACTCAAATCAAAATGTTATTCGTCACATTATTTGTAAACAACTGGTGTAGACTAACGGTGAAATGTTACATACCGCCCATCCCAGCAATGCAGAGAGAAAAATTTATAAATTATAGAAAAATTATAACATGAGGAATAAATACACACTGAGTAACGATAACTTGGCTATATATACGGGGTAAGTACCAAGTTGATGTGCAGTGGTATAAGGTAATTAAGGTGGATAAATAGCGTATGTGAGGAGTCAAAATAGTTAGCGCAAAAAGGGTCAATGCAGATAGTCCGGGTAGCTATTTGGTTAACTATTTAACAAACTATTTAGCATTATTATGGCTTGGGAGTAGAAGCTGTTCAGAGTCCTGCCACCCATCATAGACTGTTCTCTCTGCTACCGCACGGCAATTGGTAGCAGAGAGAACAGTCTATGACATACTGGGCCGTACGCACTATCCTCTGTAGCGCCTTGCAGTCAGATGCCAAGCAGTTGCCATACCAAGAGGTGATACAGCCGGTCAAGATGCTCTCAATGGTGCAGCTGTAGAACTTTTTGAGGGCCCATGTCGAATCTTTTCAGCCTCCTGAGGGAGAAGAGGCATTGTCGTACCTTTTCACGACTGTGTTGGTGTGTGTGAACCATGATAATTCCTTAGTGATGGGGACCCGAGGAATTTTAAGCTCTCGACCCTCTCCACTACAGCCCCGTCGATGTGGATGGGGGCGTGCTCGGCCCTCCATTTCTTGTAGTCCACGATCAACTCTTTTGTCTTGCTGACGTTGAGGGAGAGGTTGTTTTCCTGGCAGTGTCACTGACCTCGTCAGCAAACTTAAATGAATCTGTTGGAGTCGTGTGCGGCCATGCAGTCTTGGGTGAACAGGGAGTACAGGAGGGGACTAAGCACGCACCCCCGAGGGGCCCCCGTGTTGCGGGTAAGTGTGGTGGATGTGTTGTTGCCTACCCTCATTACCTGGGGGCGGCCCGTCAGGAAATTGGAGTGGGTCCAGGGTGTCTGGGATGATGTTGTTGATGTAAGCCATGACCAGCCTTTCAAAGCAGTGCTACGGGGAGATATTCATCCCTCCTCTCCATTATATTATATCTCCAACTATTCCCCAGGTTGCTGCTGTAAATGAGAATGTGTTCTTAGTCAACTTACCTGGTAAAATAAGGGTAAAATAAATAAATAAACATTTAGACAGATTACCTTCGCATTCTTGGGCACAAGGACTATTGCAGTATGCTTGAAACATGTAGGTATTACAGACTGAGTCAGGGAGAGGTTGAAAGTGTCAGTGAAGACACTTGCTAGCTGGTCAGTGCATGCTCAGAGTACGCATCCTGGTTATCTGTCTTGCCCTGCGGCCTTGTGAATGTTTACCTGTTTAAAGGTCTTAATCACATCGGCTACGGAGAGCGAGATCTCACAGTCGTCCAGAACAGCTGGTGCTCTCATGCATGGCTCAGTGTTGCTTGCCTCAAAGCGAGAATAGAAGGCATTTAGCCCGTCTGGTAGGCTCGTGTCACTGGACAGCTCGCGGCTGGGTTTCTCTTTGTAATCAATGATTGTTTGCAAGCCCTGCCACATCCGACGAGCGTCAGAGCCAGCGTAATAGGATTCGATCTTAGTTCTGTATTGACTGTTTGACGGCTCGTCGGAGGTCGTAGCGGGATTTCTTATAAGTGTTCGGATTAGTGACCCGCTCCTTGAAAGCGGAAGCTCTAGCCTTTAGCTCAGTGCGGATGTTGCCTGTAATCCATGGCTTCTGGTTGGGATATGTACGTACAGTAACTGTGGGGACGACACCATCGATGCACTTATTAATGAAGCCGGTGACTAATGTGGTAAACTCTTCAATGTTATCGGATGAATCCCGGAACACATTCCAGTCTGTGCTAGCGAAACGGTCCTGTAGCTTAGCATCCGCTTCATCGGACCACTTCTGTATTGAGCGCGTCACTGGTACTTCCTGTTTGAGTTTTTGCTTGTAAGCAGTAATCAGGAGGATAGAGTTATGGTCAGATTTGCCAAATGGAGGGCGAGGGAGAGCTTTGTATGTGTCTCTGTGTGTGGAGTAAAGGTGCTCTACAGTTGTGTCGCCTATAGTTGCACAGGTGACATGCTGGTAAAAATGAGGTAAGACGGATTTAAGTTTGCATTAAAATCACCGGCCACTAGGAGCGTCACCTCTGGATGTACATTTTATTTTTTGCTTATGGCCCTATACAGCTCGTTGAGTGCGGTCTTAGCACGCTCAAGTAAATAGATATCTTCGTATGGTCTGCAGCTTATCATGAGGTATTCTAACTCAGAAGAGCAAACCCTTGAGACTTAACCTTAACATTAGAGATCGCGCACAAGCTGTAGTTAACAAAGAGACACACACCTCCCCCTTAACCTTACCCGAAGCTGTACTCTATGTGTCTATTCATCGCCTCGAACACTCTTGGGGTTACTGCACACACTAACACACACACACAACATCCTACTAACCCCCACAGCAACACCCAATCCACCACTTCTTTGACAAATGCATCACAACCGAGAAAATCTACCAAAAGTAGTGTGAAAAAAAAGTAGGCTACACTGTAAATGACTGAAGAAGTCATCTCTGTTTTAGCAAGAAGCCCCAAAGTCTGGACTGGAGGATTATTTCTTCATGTGACAAATCTTTGGGTTGTGTGCATTGGGAGGTGAGCATTCTATTGATTTACGGCCCTCTAGCCTTTAACGGCTAAGAGAAACACTGTATATCAGTGCTGACAGGTGTTTTTAAACCCTATCTCTATGTAGGGGAAAGTTGGACAAACAGGGACCATTTGTTATGTGTGCTGACAGGACGGGAGGGCCCAGCCTCATGTACAGCGGTAGATATCACTGGGGGAGCACCAGGGGAGTCATGCATTGATGCTGTGTGTGTGTGTGTGTGTGTGTGTGTGTGTGTGTGTGTCTGTGTGTGTGTGTGTGTGTGTGTGTGTGTGTGTCATTCTCGGGCCTAATTTCATTCCGGCCTATTCGAATGAAACGCTTGGCAGCTTTTATTCAAGACCTCAGAACCTCAAGATTCCCTTTGACCTTTCTCACTCACTCAGGCCCCAGAATAATCAAACAGTTAACAGGGCCTCACCTGGGAAATTACCCTGTAGGATCCCCTGGACTGTGTCTGTCTGCTCCAACTCTCTGTCATAGTCTGTGTTCCAAATATCACACTATACCCTAGTGCACTACTTTTGACCAAGACGCATAGGGCTCTGGTCAAAAGTAGTGCACTTTATAGGGAACAAGGTGTAATTTCTAACACAGTCATAGTCAATCTTCTCTCCAGAACAGGCTGGGGCCAAGGTTCACTCAAAATGCCATCAGACATTAGTGAGAAGGCTGTTTTGCCCTGGCGATCAGGTTACTTTAGTGACCATGTCTGTATTGAAAGATAGGCAATGTGCAGGGTGTTTAGGATAAACTGCTAGATGGCAGGGTTAGTGTGAGGTCGTCTTTGGTATGATTTTCCCATACAGCAGAGTGCATTGGCTGTGCTTACTATATCTCCAAGCATACAGCATCTACCGTGAAATTAAAACAACAAGCGTGCAGTCCATAACCTTTCCTGTTGCTGATAGTACCTCTTGACTGACAAGCTGTATCTTCTCTAGCCTGCCTGTCCTCTCCCTTTAACGTTTAAATTGGTGCCTGACAGACTTTTGATTGTCACACAACGAATGTGTAGTTAATGGCAGATTTTTTACTGGTGTGATGGGGGACAGCCAAACCCTCTCTCCTCTCCTCTGTGTGTGCATGTGCATTCATGCGTCAGACAGACAAAGATTCGGGAGGGAGTTTTATCCAAACACTGTGGTAGACCTCATTCATTGTCTATAGGGACGGAGGGAGGAAACCCAAATAGGGGTTGAATTAGCCACTCTAATAGGGCCCTAATAGTTAGTTATTAGTCTGTTTTTTGGCCCTCGTCTACTGTAATGAGCTCTCTGAAACAATAATCAGCCAATGATGGATAGTAGAGCCTTGCCACAGTTTGGAGAAGTGGAGGAGGGTGAGGTGGGCGAAGAGGGGTGAGAAGGGCACGAAGATGACAGCTGAGAATTATTGAAGGAGGAAATGCCCACAACGGAAGGAAAGGGATACTTTCTAAATTAACCATTTTATTTTCTATTACCAGCATACGCCAAAATTGTCTTGGCTTAACCAGATTCCGGGAAGTGGAAAAGTATACTTATCTGCTTGTGATCAACCGCTATTCTACCTGTAGGCCTCGGAGGCATTGAACGTACATCATAAAGCAGAGCGGTCATATTCAATTAAGTGTAACAGGATTCCTCGCTCAAGACGTATGCGAGTATGTAAGACTAAGCTAAAGGCATGGCGAATCACTCAACTCTTTACAATACCCTGAAAACATGTTTCATTCATGCCATGCACCATCATGAAAATATCCATCAGCCACTTTACACACACAGTCACACAGTGTAATGTAATCCATCTCTTGCTTGGATTAAGATACCGGCTGGTTGTTTGATCCCCGTGAACAATCAATGTAAAACAATCTCCCAGACTATGTGCAGTGTGTGTGTTTGTACGCGCGTGCTTGCGTTAGTGGACTACATTCCAGAGGAGAGCTCTTGGACAAGCATGACTGTCTGGGATGGGGACACAGTATTCCCATACCGACAGTCTTGTCTGTCTGACTTTCTGAAAAGGCCTTGCGTGGGAAAACGCCTTGGTCTCCAACCAGACTGCTTTGTCTGTTGTGTTGGAGCCAGAACGGAAATGAATGTACCCTTTTTACACTACCGAGCCAAGCCGAACCTGGCTTGGTTGCGCAACTACAGTTCCATAGTTGCTTGAACCATGTTGGAAAGGACAATGTGAAAAGCATGATAGTGTAAAAAGGGTACTGGATGGACCAGAGCCAGCCAGGACAGCTGTTGGCGACGTTAAAGCAACCAGCCAGCCAGTCGGCAAGTCAGCCTGTGACTTAGGTCATCTCATAGAGACAATGGATCAGTGTGTGGACACTTGAAGCAGCTACTGTAGGACAGTTGTGCCTGTGGTGACATGAAGTGTTAACACCAGAGTTAGACACACATCCCTCTGAGAAGAAGAGTCCCCCTGCAGTGGTGAGGTCATAGCCTTCTGTAACACGGTCTTTCTCCACTGACTTGTAAATGTCACCTACAGTACCGTATATAGGAGCTGACATAACAGATGTGAGGGAAGGGGTCATAGAGAGATTTAGGATGCATCAAAATGTTAAAATGGCTATTACTTTAACAGAGGTGCCCCAAATTGAGATGGCCCCAAATGTCATGACCAGGCCTAACCTCCAGAGTTCTTGTCTGTTCAGACAGTAGTTGAATATCTCTATGGTGGCTTCATTCTGCTCTCACGCCCTTCACGCTCCAGCCAGTCCAGCTGTCCACATGAAACACTATCCCTCTCAAAGCCACAGAAGCATCTAAATGGAGTCAATCAAGGTGATCAAGTAGCCTGTTGGGGATCGAGAGACAGGCTTAGGCGTCCGTATAGGTTAACATGGCAGGCAGGTAAGCCAGATGGTTAAGGTATCCTCTCCATATGTCAGAGGCCAAACTAGAGGACACATAGGGATATTGTGTTATAGGGCTGAATTACAAATGGCACCCTATTCCCTATATAGTGCACTACCTTTGACCAAAGCCCTATGGGTAGTAGTGCACTAAATAGGGAATAAGGTGCAATTTGGGAGGCAGACTAGGCCTCTGATCATAGTCAGCAGCAGGTAAACAAGCCATTCATCTGTACAGACCTGAGGACAGGAGTCCTGCCCTCCAGGCAGACCTTTCATCTATCAAGGATACATAAACTGAGATCCAGCCAGATCCAGACGGCTGGCTAGCCTCAGCTTCCCTCTGGGTAAATAGAGCTAGAGATCGGCCCTACAGCAATCAACAAGCGGCACACAGAGCATACACCACTCGCTCTGCTTATTCCAGCCTGCGATGAGATCCTATTGTTTGACAGTATGATACTATCCTATACCCCACCCTTACCCTCCAACCAACATATCCAATCACTAGCAGATGCACACACATGCTCGCACGCACGCACACACCCACCCACCATTTTTTTCTTTCACTCTCCGTCTGATAAAGGGAATGTATCATTGCATTCAGAGGAAGGGGATGAAGAGGAAAATGGGGATAGAGAGAGTATAGTCTCATTTTGGAGGTGTATGGAGGCCCAGGCCCCCCTTCTCCTTCTCCCTCCACCGTTAAAAGACAAGAAGAAAGGTGAGAGAAGAGGGAGGGGATCAGTGATGATGACATGCTATACAAGTAGTGGAAAAGACAAGGTTCTGAGTTGAAAAGACAAGGTTCTGAGTTGAAAAGACAAGGTTCTGAGTTAAGTGTTTGATATAAAGCATTTGGTACGACGCCTTTAGCTGCACTGCGTAACGTCTCCATTCAACGTTCACCATATGCTCTCCTGTCGCCTCGACTACATCTAAAGATGGAATAGGGATAGATAGAGAGAGAGGCTAGAGAGAAAGGGAAGAGAAAGAGAGTGAGAGTGCTGTGGAAAGGCAGAAGTAGAGGATGGATCTAATTTGTTGACCCAAATTATATTGGGGAGGGGACTGTGCATCTGTCTCTGTCCGTTAGTACGTTAGTCACACGCGATTGAATGATGCGTCTTGCCATAGAGATCTGGCATTTACAATAATTACACTGATTGGCCAGATGGTGGCGCTATAACAAGAGATTGAAAATGCAAACTTTAAAAGGTGCGCCCCTCACCCCGTTTAACCTAAAGTCATGAAATTTGGTACATAGGTCCCTCTCCTCACAAAGAATACATTTCCTCAGGGACCCATAAGGTCCGCCATGATGGACTTTTTGCCATTTATAATTTTGTGAAGAAAAATTTAAACGCTACTCTTCTGGCATCGAATGACCAATCTGCACGAAACTTGATATGTGACATCTATGGACAAAGGTCTCTCAACGCAATGTTTTCCAGACTACTACTTAAAACAACGATTGACGAATAAACATTCAAGTTGGCGTGCACTGGCACATAAATGAATATAAATGAGTCAAGGATATCACTAAACATATGCAAGAACATTCATATCGACCACCCGGTGGCGCTATAACGGGCACATGTTTATATCTCTTGATCTGTTTGACTCAGAGTGATGAAATTGGTGAGTGATCCGGCATTTACAAAATTACATTGATTGGCCCAAGGGGGTGCTATAGTAATCAACTGTAGGTACGTTAGTCCCACATGAAATCTAAGACACCACTGGCCCGATTTTGCCAAAACTTGGGTGAATGATCCGTCTTGCCATAGAGAGCCGTCATTTACACTAATTACACTGATTTGCCCAAGAGAGGCACTGCATCATTCGTGGGGTACGACATGTTTACTGTTGCCTTGTTTGTGTTTGTTTGCTTGGCAGACGGCACAAACTAGGGCGGGGAACTTAATCCACAAGCCGCTCATGTCCCTTTGATAGTGTATTGAAGCTGTTAAGATCTTGTGGTATACTGTAGCAACCTCTGTTTCAAATGCAACCATCTGCGTCTAGGTCTAAGTCTATCTTGTTTTCAATGAAGCATACAGTGTCTGTACCTAATTACTGACAAATAAAGATGTCATAAAAAAACTGGCACACATTACAAAGACATATTACATACATGATGTATCATATTTTCCCAGATAAAAACCAACAAAGGGATTTAATTTAACTCATATAGGGATGAATGTGCGGAAAATAGAACATATATTATTCATTACAGGAACATATAGCCTAACTCCCATGCACTATGGAATTACCATGTACTACCATGATCGGCTGACTGCGAGGCAGGTATTACCGTGATTGGCTCACTGAGGGTATTACTGTATCGTGATTGGCTGACTGAGAGATGGGTTTATCGTGATTGGCTGACTGAGGGGAGATTATTACTGAACTGTACCGTGATTAGCTGGTAAGTTCTTCATCTGGATGAGGTTGGCCAGCCTATCGATGGAGAGCTTGGGCCACTGCAAGTAGAAGTGACAACCCTGGATCAGAGATTCCTTCAGAGCATAGTTCTGGGCCAGGATCTCCTACAACAAGAGACATACAGCACAATACAGATTCAAGACAGCGGGAAAGGACACGTCTTAGTGTACAAATAAAGTTGAAGACATTGAGGACTTGTCTAAAGAAATTGAAAATGTGGGAGTATAAGTAACTTGTATTTGTGGTTGATTAATACAGTCACATATGCTGGTATGCATTTAAATCAGGTGTGTAGCATATTCGTTTTGGATAGTAAATGTAGATCCTTCACCTTCTTCAGCTTGGCGTAGCCTGAGTGGGAGATTTTGAGGATCTCGCAGGGTTCCTGTGTTAACGTACACTGGATGGTGATGCCTGCCTCAGTAACTGCAGGGGGTTCAAATGATCCAAAGCTGCAACCCACACCTATCTGGTGAAACACGCAATCAATCAATCAACCAACCAAAACTGGGAAAAGACCTTAAAGCTGGAATCCTTAATGGTGAAACAGCTACATTCGATTGCGATATTACAACAGAGAAGTTACAGCAAACAATGAACACTGTTTTTTCCGCTTTTACCATGCTGTGCGACGTTTTACCATGCTGTGCGACAGCTCGGCAATAAAAACAATAACAATGGTGGTGGGGCGGCGTTTTGCGCTGTTTCCCCCGACTGCAGATTCCATCTTTAACACTCTGGAGTAACATTGTGGCAATGCCATGGTGTCGTTGCTTACCACTGAACCCTTTGGATCGACAGCCTCCTTGGATGTTTCTTGAGTGTATGGAGTTACTGAACCTTTCAGGATGAGGTAGAATCCATTGTGTCCAAATACTGCAGGAGGGAAGGGATGTTAAAGTGCTATTGAAGTGAAATAAAAACAAAAAAGTAAAGAAACGCCTCTATCTGTCCATCACATAGAGGAACATCCCAGAACATCACAGACTCTGCCTGCGTCCCAAATGGCACCCTATTCTGCACTACTTTAGACAAGTACACCATAGTAGACAAAACAATTATCCCAAATGCACCGGTCTCGTCTTTTCAGAACGTTTCAAATAGCCTATCACATCACACGTCTCAGACATTAAACATTCCCTTTGCCATCATCTTTCCCGTTTCATAAATAAAAAAAGCAATACCTTTCAAATTGCAGAAAGTATCCAAGATCGACAATCTGGTCTAGACAAATCGATCAGATGCTCTGAATCAAAAACAGCTGATATTTAACCAAGGAGTATAGCTAGCTAAGTCTCTGTCAAAGTATGAGCTTAGATTTTCATTAGATAGTTTTGCTTCCACATTTGACAATGTGTGGGTGATTATGGGGTCTGACAAGGAAAATGATCTCTGCTGTTTTATCAACTTGTACAAATTGCCACTCATTATCCTGTGAATATATTGGTAGATGTCTGGTTTCAAGGGTTGGTGCTTTATTGTATGTAGACACCTCTATTCATACAAAACTAATGAGCCAGAGTGATATAAATTGTCTGGATTTGTTTTGTGTTATGTTGGTTATGTCGACATAATCTGATATAACTAGATATTAATCGCTTCTCTCAAATATTCATTCAGGCAAAACATATATTTTCCAAGATTGCACAAGATTTAATGTAATATAAAATGATTGCATAAATCTATTCAAATATATAAATACATACAAATAAAATGTATGGGGAGACTGTATACAGTGGGGAGAAGAAGAATTTGATACACTGCCGATTTTGCAGGTTTTCCTACTTACAAAGCATGTAGAGGTCTGTAATTTGTATCATAGGTACACTTCAACTGTGAGAGAAAATCACATTGTATGATTTTTAAGTAAATAATTAGCATTTTATTGCATGACATAAGTATTTGATACATCAGAAAAGCAGAACTTAATATTTGGTACAGAAACCTTTATTTGCAATTACAGAGATCATACGTTTCCTGTAGGTCTTGACCAGGTTTGCACACACTGCAGCAGGGATTTTGGCCCACTCCTCCATACAGACCTTCTCCAGATCCTTCAGGTTTCGGGGCTGTCGCTGGGCAATACGGATTTTCAGCTCCCTCCAAAGATTTTCTATTGGGTTCAGGTCTGGAGACTGGCTAGGCCACTCCAGGACCTTGAGATGCTTCTTACGGAGCCACTCCTTAGTTGCCCTGGCTATGTGTTTCGGGTCGTTGTCATGCTGGAAGACCCAGCCACGACCCATCTTCAATGCTCTTACTGAGGGAAGGAGGTTGTTGGCCAAGATCTCGCGATACATTGCTCCATCCATCCTCCCCTCAATACGGTGCAGTCGTCCTGTCCCCTTTGCAGAAAAGCATCCCCAAAGAATGATGTTTCCACCTCCATGCTTCACGGTTGGGATGGTGTTCTTGGGGTTGTACTCATCCTTCTTCTTCCTCCAAACACGGCGAGTGGAGTTTAGACCAAAAAGCTCTATTTTTGTCTCATCAGACCACATGACCTTCTCCCATTCCTCCTCTGGATCATCCAGATGGTCATTGGCAAACTTCAGATGGGCCTGGACATGCGCTGGCTTGAGCAGGAGGACCTTGCGTGCGCTGCAGGATTTTAATCCATGACGGCGTAGTGTGTTACTAATGGTTTTCTTTGAGACTGTGGTCCCAGCTCTCTTCAGGTCATTGACCAGGTCCTGCCGTGTAGTTCTGGGCTGATCGCTCACCTTCCTCATGATCATTGATGCCCCACGAGGTGAGATCTTGCATGGAGCCCCAGACCGAGGGTGATTGACAGTCATCTTGAACTACTTCCATTTTCTAATAATTGCGCCAACAGTTGTTGCCTTCTCACCAAGCTGCTTGCCTATTGTCCTGTAGCCCATCCCAGCCTTGTGCAGGTCTACAATTTCTTCCCTGATGTCCTTACACAGCTCTCTGGTCTTGGCCATTGTGGAGAGGTTGGAGTCTGTTTGATTGAGTGTGTGGACAGGTGTCTTTTATACAGGTAACGAGTTCAAACAGGTGCAGTTAATACAGGTAATGAGTGGAGAACAGGAGGGCTTCTTAAAGAAAAACTAACAGGTCTGTGAGAGCCGGAATTCTTACTGGTTGGTAGGTGATCAAATACTTATGTCATGCAATAAAATGCAAATTATTTACTTAAAAATCATACAATGTGATTTTCTGGATTTTTGTTTTAGATTCCGTCTCTCACAGTTGAAGTGTACCTATGATAACAATTACAGACCTCTACATGCTTTGTAAGTAGGAAAACCTGCAAAATCGGCAGTGTATCAAATACTTGTTCTCCCCACTGTATATAATACATAAGGCAATATCAATTTATTTAAAGTATTAATTTCCCTCTCTAGAGTGTAGAGTACTTCTCTCCCCTCCATCAAAATCTAAAAAAGTATCAGCCTCCCGACTCAAGCGCCTGTGAAAGATAACAGAAAAGCAATATCCAACCACCAAATCAAACATAACAGGAGAGGGGATTGAGTCTAAGCATTCCGTTGATAGTGCTGCCTGCCTCCATGGATGACAGTCATTTCAGAAGCCAAACCGCCTCGCAGAGTTTCATATACATGCAGCTTCTATTTTTCCCTGTGGTGCTCTGCTGCATATCTCACCACCACTTGTAGATGTTCTATCTCAGAGAGCAGCTAGGGGTGCTTCAATCTGCCCAAATCGGTGCATGCACACACGGTGTATGAGGGATGAATGATGAAAAGAAACGGAACCAGATAAAACTGCTCTTGTGAAACTAGTCAGGCCTCACAGGAGGGAGGCAAGAAGCCTCAACCTATTCAAAACTGTATTTTCACAGCCAGATGCACTGTGGGCAGGGGTGTGAAGGGAGGGATGTACTTTTTGGGGTGAAGGGGTGTGTGTTGGGGTGAGGGTGAAGGGTGTTTGTGTGTGCATGCACATTATGCATAATGTATAACCGTGTGTATGTATCAGCTTAGGCATGCATGATGAGAGTTTGTTGTGCTTCTCTATCCTCACCAGCCTCCGCCAGCTAAATGTGATGGATAGAACAGCCTAGAAGCACAGTGTGATGTACTCAGATGACTGTTGAATAGCATGAATAATAGATGGTGAATTTAGGATGATTGAGGTCTACAGAGCTGGAATACTGCTGTCTCAATCAATAACATCAGCATCTGTACAGCCCTCCAGTACTTCTTAAGACAAACAGTAGCTATAACACTGACTGTGAGCTCTCTGATAGAAAGCATCTCCTATTAAAGACCATGGGAATGGACTAGAAGGAATATCTGAGAACAGAATCAAGGTCTTATAAAAACCTGTATGAGTATTTATCTCTCTCTGTGTTTGTGTGAGAAAGCGCTCTAAATAAGTCAGTGTTTTTATGCATTTATGTGTCAATGCAGTATTCAGGAAAATGCAGGGAGTTTTCCAAAGACAAAACGATATCCTGCGAATGCTAGAGCATGTTTGAGTTCACAATGCAAGAGGAATATGGTGTGTATGTGCGTGTGACTCACTGATCTGTGCCCTATCCCAGGTCTCTATGATGGCGATGGTGCTGATCTGCTGTAACTCCTGTCTGGAGAGGTGGGCTGTCAGACACGGGAACACCTTCAGCATCTTATGGATGGCATGGTGCTCCAACTGGGACCGCTCTATAGGGCTGACAACAACAACACACACACACACACACACACAGAGAGAAAATACAAAATTGTTCAATACTCAGGGAAAAAATGACCACACACTGTGTATTTGTGAGCATGCATGGGAGCACGATGGTGATGATGATCTACCTCTCTCATTTCTCTATCTCTCTATCTACCTCTCTCATTTCTCTATCTCTCTATCTACCTCTCTCATGTCTCTATCTCTCTATCTACCTCTCATTTCTCTATATCTACCTCTCTCATTTCTCTATCTCTCTATCTACCTCTCTATCTCTCTATCTACCTCTCTCATTTCTCTATCTCTCTATCTACCTCTCTCATTTCTCTATCTCTCTAACTACCTCTCTATCTCTCTATCTACCTCTCTCATTTCTCTATCTCTCTATCTACCTCTCTACCTACAGTGGGGAAAAAAAGCATTTAGTCAGCCACCAATTGTGCAAGTTCTCCCACTTAAAAAGATGAGAGAGGCCTGTAATTTTCATCATAGGTACACGTCAACTATGACAGACAAAATGAGAAAAAAAAATCCAGAAAATCACATTGTAGGATTTTTTATGAATTTATTTGCAAATTATGGTGGAAAATAAGTATTTGGTCAATAACAAAAGTTTCTCAATACTTTGTTATATACCCTTTGTTGGCAATGACACAGGTCAAACGGTTTCTGTAAGTCTTCACAAGGTTTTCACACACTGTTGCTGGTATTTTGGCCCATTCCTCCATGCAGATCTCCTCTAGAGCAGTGATGTTTTGGGGCTGTCGCTGGGCAACACGGACTTTCAACTCCCTCCAAAGATTTTCTATGGGGTTGAGATCTGGAGACTGGCTAGGCCACTCCAGGACCTTGAAATGCTTCTTACGAAGCCACTCCTTCGTTGCCCGGGCGGTGTGATTGGGATCATTGTCATGCTGAAAGACCCAGCCACGTTTCATCTTCAATGCCCTTGCTAATGGAAGGAGGTTTTCACTCAAAATCTCACGATACATGGCCCCATTCATTCTTTCCTTTACACGGATCAGTCATCCTGGACCCTTTGCAGAAAAACAGCCCCAAAGCATGATGTTTCCACACCCATGCTTCACAGTAGGTATGGTGTTCTTTGGATGCAACTCAGCATTCTTTGTCCTCCAAACACGACGAGTTGAGTTTTAACCAAAAAGTTATATTTTGGTTTCATCTGACCATATGACATTCTCCCAATCCTCTTCTGGATCATCCAAATGCACTCTAGCAAATTTCAGATGGGCCTGGACATGTACTGGCTTAAGCAGGGGGACACGTCTGGCACTGCAGGATTTGAGTCCCTGGCGGCGTAGTGTGTTACTGATGGTAGGCTTTGTTACTTTGGTCCCAGCTCTCTGCAGGTCATTCACTAGGTCCCCCCGTGTGGTTCTGGGATTTTTGCTCACCGTTCTTGTGATCATTTTGACCCCACGGGGTGAGATCTTGCGTGGAGCCCCAGATCGAGGGAGATTATCAGTGGTCTTGTATGTCTTCCATTTCCTAATAATTGCTCCCACAGTTGATTTCTTCAAACCAAGCTGCTTACCTATTGCAGATTCAGTCTTCCCAGCCTGGTGCAGGTCTACAATTTTGTTTCTGGTGTCCTTTGACAGCTCTTTGGTCTTGGCCATAGTGGAGTTTGGAGTGTGACTGTTTGAGGTTGTGGACAGGTGTCTTTTATACTGATAACAAGTTCAAACAGGTGCCATTAATACAGGTACCGAGTGGAGGACAGAGGAACCTCTTAAAGAAGAAGTTACAGGTCTGTGAGAGCCAGAAATCTTGCTCGTTTGTAGGTGACCAAATACTTATTTTCCACCATAATTTGCAAATAAATTCATTAAAAATCCTACAATGTGATTTTCTGGATTTTTTTTCTCATTTTTGTCTGTCATAGTTGACGTGTACCTATGATGAAAATTACAGGCCTCTCTCGTCTTTTTAAGTGGGAGAACTTGCATAATTGGTGGCTGACTAAATACTTTTTCCCCACTGTACCTCTCTCATTTCTCGATCTCTCTATCTACCTCTCTCATTTCTCTATCTCTCCATCTACCTCTCTCATTTCTCTATCTCTATATCTACCTCTCTCATTTCTCTATCTCTCTACCTACCTCTCTCATTTCTCTATCTCTCTATCTACCTCTCTCATTTCACTATCTCTCTATCTACCTCTCTCATTTCTCTATCTCTCTATCTACCTCTCTCATTTCTCTATCTCTCTATCTACCTCTCTCACTTCTCTCTCTCTATCTACCTCTCATTTCTCTATCTCTCTATCTACCTCTCTCATTTCTCTATCTACCTCTCTCATTTCTCTATCTCTCTATCTACCTCTCTCATTTCTCTAGCTCTCTCTATCTACCTCTCTCATTTCTATATCTCTCTATCTACCTGTCATTTCTCTATCTCTATCTACCTCTCATTTCTCTCTCTCTCTATTCACAAATATGGAGAGATGATGATGACAGGGCAATTATGACGCTGACGTGTCAGTCTGTCTGAGGCCAGAAAAGGTCAGAACTATCAATCAAATGACCCCTTAAAACAGCCTGGTGTATGTGTGAGTGTGTGTACGTGTTTGTGTATATATTGTGGTAATCGAGTGAGTCAGAGAGAGACGGCAGGAGAGCAGCAGGTAAAAAGACAGAGAAACTGTGCCCTCATCTCAGATTCAAGTCAATCACAACTGAGACAGACCGCTTTGAGAGACGAGACCGGGAAGGAAGCGACTTCACCCTCACTCTCCAGAAGGCATTGTTTAGATGGGTGCTATTGTGGTGTCTCCCACCATGATTTACAAACACTTTGAGTCAGACTGTCTGAACTATGAAGAAACACAACCTGTTGAACTATTGAACAGCCAATGCACAAAAGTATTAAACAGTGAGAGACGGTTGTGGGATTGAAGATCGCACACATTCAGACTGAGACTTCTGCCACCAGTCACTCACCTCTAGCTATTCCTGAATGATAACAATGTGAGATTCTTATTATTATCGGTTAACTGCTTAAAACACTCATCTTTATGACACTTATAGAACAAGTCTAAGATCTGAATTACGTCCCTTTAGAGCTTAAAAAAGACAAACATGACAAGCCAGCCAGTCACCTGCTTGCATGAAAAACGGGACTAGACAATCATTCGTGCCATGTGTAATATCCCTCCTTATGGCCCGGGGTCATGTCCTAATCCATCCATTAAAAAGGTGGAATCTGCGATTGGCACATTATATATACCCATTGATTCTTGAAGAATATAACTTATACATGCTTCATGAGCTTACTTCAACTGTAGTTCTCCATCAGAACCTAAAATACAAGCTTGTTTTATTCCAGTGTTTGTAAACAATGTACATCTAAACAAACACTAAATAGCCTCAAAAAATTATTAAAACTATAATTTTTAAAATGATGGATGGCAAGTCCTTGTATCCATAGCTGTCTATACATTTCTCCAGCCCCGTTCCTCAGCTTTTTATCAAAACAGAGGTGGGTGAGGGCTTTGTTATTGTTTGAACTGCAGATTGCTGCTTTAAGTTTTCAAACCGTATAGAAATTGTTATAAATTTGTCACTGGGAATTCTTTGTCTGTATTGTTCTTGTCCTTTTTAAACGCCTTTTAAATGTGTACATGATACTGCAACAACTCTTCCCTATACGGTCAGTGAAGTCAGTGGTGTAACCCACCCAGCATCCCGAGGAGTCTCATCTTTGATAGTAACGCGTGACTTATGCTGAGCTCTGGTTAATATCACAGCAGCCTATTTCAAGGTTCAGCAGCGATGCGCTAATAATTCTAAACACATCACATCTAAATCAATGCATATGCACACACTGTACTCAGTATACACTAAGCCCATGGGAAATATCAAGGGACTATGGGCATCTGTATTCCATTTCCTCACCACATAATGATTGCTATAGCAGCTGTGTAAGGGAGAAATATAAATTAACATGGGCGGGGTGGTGGTACTATCTATTCTGACATCAGGAGGAAGGGAGAGACTTGCAAGCAAATGACGCGTTGCATGTCGGAAGCGATGCAGCATTACATTCAACCTCATTGACTGTCTTTACAACAGGCCTATAGACGGATGACCTACTGTCTGTGTAGGTGGAGGTGGTTCAGTGACCTACACCTGTATGATGACTAGCCTTGTCTGAGACATGAAGACTACTGGCATACAGATGCGGTCAAATATATTGGCACCCTTGTATGATTCACAATTTCTTCTAAAATAAGTTGAAATTGAAAACACTGAAATTGAGAAATGTTTACATCAATGTCAAACAATGGCCTTGACTAAAATATTCAAAAATAATTTAGTTGTAGGCAATGATTCTCATTTACTGTGCAATTTCACCTGTGGTAAGTTGCAGGTGCCTACAGGGTAAAAATAGCCATTCAACCAGTTTTGAAAAGAAAAAATAGCACATTCTGTTCCATTGCAAGAGTGCCAATATATTTGACCACATCTATAAAAATGTTACCCTCTCTTCCACATCAGCCATTGAGAGTACAACACCCCTCCACCCTGCCTTCTCACTTCCCGGTACCCTGCCCCCAACATGACCTTTGACCCAGAGTTATGCACTTCCTGCTTGCTTGACGCTGCATCATCAGACACATCTGAGGTTTGGCATTGGAATGCTTTGGTGTCTGAAATGTGTATACCACTGCCTTCCTTCCACACAATTATCCAGATAAGGCCTATTAGTGCATCCCAGAGCATCTGATTACATATCTTCGTTGTTAGCTAGTAGTGATGTCCTTGGAAATCCTAGGGCCACATTTACTACATGTTTACAGTACAGACATTATATCAGTCGTTTTTTCCTTTCAACTTAATCCCTTCTTAAAACGTCTGTCCCTTACATTGCAATGGTCCTCAGTCATATTCAGGAAGAATCTATTCTTTAAACAGCTAACTTGATTTACGACGTACTAGCTTATAAAATACATGTATAATCAAAAAGGTGGGGTTCTAAATCACAAGGATGAACTAAGAGGGTCACTTTGGTACTGTAAAAGATTTTACACCACCAATTCCAAGACTTCCAATGACATTTCCATACGCTGGTGTTAATCATAAATTCTCCAATGATAATAGTAATTGCTATCTCTAATCCCTTTCCATAAGTTTCTAATTAACTGGATGAAGGTTTATCATTGGAAGGACAGGGAAGGACTTGAATTATTTGTGTGAAAAAGTCATTTCTGCAAACGTCAAGGATTTGTAGCCTCGGACACGTACACACACGCAATGTTCTTTCTCCTCATTTATTTTCCCGCTCTCTCTCACAAACACACAGTGAGGAGCTGAGCAGACAGAAAGTGGTGGTTGTGTAAACAGGGTGGCAGATTAATTTGCGGGACGCGGGGTGGGGGTGCTGTGCCGAAGGGGGCTGCTGGCTACGCTGCACTAACCGTGGTGCTTAGAGGAGCTGAGAGAAGAGATCCTGTAGAGGACACACCAGAGGGTTTGTGGCTCAGAGAACAGCATGGTGGATTGAGAGGGTGAGAGATGCTCAGCTCAGTTTAGCTCAGGCCTGGAGGGATGCTGACACAGTCCATCCGCCTGCTCCACTCCTGACTCGCATTCTCTTTTTTCAATCTATCTAGCATTTGAGTCAAGCATCGGATCAAGCCGAATCGAAAGACACATTGTTGATCAAATAAAACAACAATGTTACTGCCGTCTTGGCAGTAACAAGGACTCTTAACAACGTGATGAAACTTTGCTCCTTGCTGAAACAGCAGCAGCAAACATCTCTAACCCTGGCAATTTTACTGGTAAACTCATGGGTACACATGCAATGGCTGCCTGGTATTGTGATTCAATACTTTCCATGATGATGTAGAATTTTCATTCAAATTATGTTAACTGATGTGGCTCATGCAATGGAATGTATTTTTTGTAATGACAGTTGAGTTGAATCAACAAATTACAGCCCATTTTGTAGCTCATATTTTACTTCCTGCTTTGCTCCTATGGGTACACTCGCAATGTCCGCCAGTCCACCCATTATGCTATCATTGACTTGAATGGGAATGCCTGTTCTATTCATTATATTTCTATTGCGGCACATACAGTGGGGAAAAAAAGTATTTAGTCAGCCACCAATTGTGCAAGTTCTCCCACTTAAAAAGATGAGAGAGCCCTGTAATTTTCATCATAGGTACACGTCAACTATGACAGACAAATTGAGATTTTTTTTCTCCAGAAAATCACATTGTAAGATTTTTTATGAATTGATTTGCAAATTATGGTGGAAAATAAGTATTTGGTCCTGCAGTGCCAGACGTGTCCCCCTGCTTAAGCCAGTACATGTCCAGGCCCGTCTGAAGTTTGCTAGAGTGCATTTGGATGATCCAGAAGAGGATTGGGAGAATGTCATATGGTCAGATGAAACCAAAATAGAACTTTTGGTAAAAACTCAACTCGTCGTGTTTGGAGGACAAAGAATGCTGAGTTGCATCCAAAGAACACCATACCTACTGTGAAGCATGGGGGTGGAGACATCATGCTTTGGGGCTGTTTTTCTGCAAAGGGATCAGGACGACTGATCCGTGTAAAAGAAAGAATGAATGGGGCCATGTATCGTGAGATTTTGAGTGAAAACCTCCTTCCATCAGCAAGGGCATTGAAGATGAAACGTGGCTGGGTCTTTCAGCATGACAATGATCCCAAACACACTGCCCGGGCAACGAAGGAGTGGCTTCGTAAGAAGCATTTCAAGGTCCTGGAGTGGCCTATCCAGTCTCCAGATCTCAACCCCATAGAAAATCTTTGGAGGGAGTTGAAAGTCCGTGCTGCCCAGCGACAGCCCCAAAACATCACTGCTCTAGAGGAGATCTGCATGGAGGAATGGGCCAAAATACCAGCAACAGTGTGTGAAAACCTTGTGAAGACTTACAGAAAACGTTTGACCTGTGTCATTGCCAACAAAGGGTATATAACAAAGTATTGAGAAACTTTTGTTATTGACCAAATACTTATTTTCCACCATAATTTGCAAATAAATTCATTTAAAATCCTACAATGTGATTTTCTGGAGAAAAAAAATCTCATTTTGTCTGTCATAGTTGACGTGTACCTATGATGAAAATTACAGGCCTCTCTCATCTTTTTAAGTGGGAGAACATGCCCAATTGGTGGCTGACTAAATACTTTTTTTCCCCACTGTACAATCAGGAGTGTAAAAGAGGAGAAAATATGCCAAAAAATAAAAAAGAATGGCCATTCGAACGGTTATTACGGTGACCGCAGTCATTTGGCTGGCCAATTACTGTCATCCAAAATTCCATGACCGTCACAGCCCTACTAAGCAGCACATTTCTAATTTTCTCCCGCTTTCTACTAAATTAAAACAAAAACACACAAATGGTCTACAACAGGGGTACTCAACTACTATTTGAGAAGGTAAGGTCACACAAATGTCCTAAGTGGCAAAGGTCCGGATGGATATTGTCATTTAATCGGTGTAGTAACAAACCCCCACCTCGCAACCCATGCGCCCCCAAACTGTTCACACCCCTCTTGTTGGAGGACAGAAATGTTTGCGGATTTCCTGCAATTCTAGCAAAAAATGTGTTGCCTTATGTGTGTTCATATCATACCTGTGACTCACCAAAATCTAAATGGGGGCCCCCTGAGGGTAGAGGCCCCTGGGCACGTACACTACCAGTCAAAAGTTTGGACACACCTACTCATTCAAGTTTTTCTTTATTTTTACTATTTTTTACATTGTAGAATAATAGTGAAGACATCAAAACTATGAAATAACACATATGGAATCATGTAGTAACCAAAAAAGTGTTAAACAAATCAAAATATATTTTATATTTGAGATTCTTCAAATAGCCACTCTTTGCCTTGATGACAGCTTTGCACACTCTTGGCATTCTCTTAACCAGCTTCATGCATGAGGTAGTCACCTGGAATACATTTTAATTAACAGGTGTGCCTTCTTTCAAGTGAATTTGTGGAATTTCTTTCCTTCTTAATGCGTTTGAGCCAATCAGTTGGACACCAATAATAAGAAAAGTCCTGCATGGGCCAAGAAACACGAGCAATGGACATTAGACCGGTGGAAATGTGTCCTTTGGTCTGGAGTCCAAATTTGAGATTTTTCTTTCCAACCGCTGTGTCTTTGTGAGACGCGGTGTGGTTGAACGGATGATCTCCGCATGTGTATTTCCCACCGTAAAGCATGGAGGAGGAGGTGTTATGGTGAGGGGGTGCTTTGCTGGTGACACTGTCTGTGATATATTTAGAATTCAAGGCACACTTAACCAGCATGGCTACCACAGCATTCTGCAGTGATACGTCATCCCATCTGGTTTGGGCTTAGTGGGACTATCATTTGTTTTTCAACAAGACAATGACACAACACACCTCCAGGCTGTGTAAGGGCTATTTGACCAAGAAGGAGAGCGATGGAGTGCTGCATCAGATTACCTGGGCTCCACAATCCCCCGACCTCCACCCAATTGAGATGGTTTGGGATAAGTCGGACCGCAGAGTGAATGAAAAGCAGCCAACAAGTGCTCAGCATATGTGGGAACTCTTTCATTCCATTTGAAGCTGGTTGAGAGAATGACAAGAGTGTGCAAAGCTGTCATCAAGGCAAAGGGTGGCTATTTGAAGAATCTCAAATATAACATATAATTTGATTTGTTTAACACTTTTTTGCTTACTACATGATTCCATACATGTTATTTCATAGTTTTGATGTCTTCACTATTATTCTACAATAATAAAGAAAAACCCTTGAATGAGTAGGTGTGTCCAAACTTTTGACTGGTACTGTAAATCTAGACATATTACCTACAATATTTAGATTGGTAAATTAGGCTAACCAGCTATCTAGCTAACATGGGCTAGTAATTGATCAACTGGACATGTCTGACAGGTTATAAATAGCTTGAGGGTCTGTCAGTGAATGACATAAGAGAAAACTGCCCAAGCACTTCCAAATGTTGAAATTGCACCTTGTGCATTCTACCTCTACAACCATCAACAGCAGCAAGTTGAAAGCCCAACGGAGCTTTCAACTTGCAGTCTGCCAGTTTAGTATGGCTGGTCTACAAGGTCTTATCAGGACAAACGTGTTTACCAAAGTTCAGGAAGCTCAGGAGAGAAGACACCCTGGCCTGCACTCTCCTTGGCTTACAGGCTTTTAAAGTGTCATCACCATTGTGAGCCTTTAGACAAGACGAGAGTCCTATCAGATTGGTTTCAACACTGGACCCTTGCTTTTAGGAGAGGAGCGGCAGCGAATGCTTTTTTTCTTCTCACAAATAACTGTAATCAGCCTTATCTACAGCCTCCTACAGCCTGCTCCGGCCGCTCTATCACCATCTTATCGCCCCACCAAATACCTTCCTTTCCTCTCGCCTATCTCCAGAGGACGCTGGGGGAAAATTGCCCCTAAAGCGGACCCAGCCAGTGACATAAATCACGGGGAGAGAAAAGCTTGATAAGAGCTATCTGTCTGGGAGTTAGAGCCACAAGGCACTTTTCTTCAGATGGCCGGCCGGGGCAAAAAAATAACAAAAGCGTGTTAGGCTAGCCAACTTCATTCAAATTCAAAGTCCGCTTTGAAGATAACAGGGGGGGACCTTCGAGGTAATCAATCGAATCAGGAAGACTCAAATCACAGCTCCGATGGCCTCTATCTCTGTTTCTTTTCTTATTTTTATCTTCTTTCAACTGCACTTTTTTCGAAAATGGGAAAGAAAATTATAGGGGGGGAAGTGGACACCCTTGTCTTTGACTAAGCACTCACACAATACACTTCCCATAGGAGAGGGGACATAGAGAGGCAATGTCTTGGGGACCACAGTGATAAGATTTGTGCTATAAAGCATTTAGACCTTTATCAGAGATGGCTGATGCCTGCGGCCTGTGCAGAGCAAGGGAGCCAATCAATCTTTGGGTGGAGAGGAGAAGACAAGAGAGCCTTGAACCTTTCTGCCACTGTGTAATTCATTCTGAGGGAAAAAACTAAGAGCCTTTGTGAACACATATATATCACATATACTGTAGATCTTACATTAATGTTCACACACAGCATATGTAGCAGATGGGGATCTGTGAAACTCACTCCTCAGCCTGAAGTGTCGCCTCTTGCGCAATTATAGAAGGCCTTTTCCAATGGCCTGATGGGTTGGAACACTTCACGAGGGCGGTCACGTGTGTTTGCGAGGCAAAGGTCCCGAGTCTCTGTATGAGCTGAATCAGGGGGAAGCGGTACTCACTAAGCAAGCAGCGTGACATCCTTTACACATAGTAGGGGTGTAACGGTACACGTATTTGTACCAGGGACCTCTGTTCGGTCAACACTGTGAACCCGAATGAATACAAAAAAAAATATATATATATATATATATACACAATAGGCTATGCGTTGTATGCCTCTTGAGTAAATTTGAGGTGAACAAAACATTTCAGGCTATTGCGTTCCAACAACTAGAGCCTATGCGCACGTTGTAATATAAATTGTAAATCTTAATTGACGCATTTCAAACTGTCCTTTTGTAAGGCGCAGCCAGGAACTAGTTCTGTACGATGGAGGATTCTCCATCGTTTAAAATCTCCAGTTTGGGAACATTTTGTCTTCCCAGTAGATTACAATGGCAATGGACAGAGAGAGTATGTCACCACTGGTCAATGAGAATAGCCTATGTACAGTGGGGGAAAAAAGTATTTAGTCAGCCACCAATTGTGCAAGTTCTCCCACTTAAAAAGATGAGAGAAGCCTGTAATTTTCATCATAGGTACACGTCAACTATGACAGACAAATTGAGAATTTCTTTTCCAGAAAATCACATTGTAGAATTTTTAATGAATTTATTTGCAAATTATGGTGGAAAATAAGTATTTGGTCACCTACAAACAAGCAAGATTTCTGGCTCTCACAGACCTGTAACTTCTTCTTTAAGAGGCTCCTCTGTCCTCCACTCGTTACCTGTATTAATGGCACCTGTTTGAACTTGTTATCAGTATAAAAGACACCTGTCCACAACCTCAAACAGTCATACTCCAAACTCCACTATGGCCAAGACCAAAGAGCTGTCAAAGGACACCAGAAACAAAATTGTAGACCTGCACCAGGCTGGGAAGACTGAATCTGCAATAGGTAAGCAGCTTGGTTTGAAGAAATCAACTGTGTGAGCAATTATTAGGAAATGGAAGACATACAAGACCACTGATAATCTCCCTCGATCTGGGGCTCCATGCAAGATCTCACCCCGTGGGGTCAAAATGATCACAAGAACGGTGAGCAAAAATCCCAGAACCACACGGGGGGACCTAGTGAATGACCTGCAGAGAGCTGGGACCAAAGTAACAAAGCCTACCATCAGTAGCACACTACGCCGCCAGGGACTCAAATCCTACAGTGCCAGACGTGTCCCCCTGCTTAAGCCAGTACATGTCCAGGCCCGTCTGAAGTTTGCTAGAGTGCATTTGGATGATCCAGAAGAGGATTGGGAGAATGTCATATGGTCAGATGAAACCAAAATAGAACTTTTTGGTAAAAACTCAACTCGTCGTGTTTGGAGGACAAAGAATGCTGAGTTGCATCCAAAGAACACCATACCTACTGTGAAGCATGGGGGTGGAAACATCATGCTTTGGGGCTGTTTTTCTGCAAAGGGACCAGGACGACTGATCCGTGTAAAGGAAAGAATGAATGGGGCCATGTATCGTGAGATTTTGAGTGAAAACCTCCTTCCATCAGCAAGGGCATTGAAGATGAAACGTGGCTGGGTCTTTCAGCATGACAATGATCCCAAACACACCGCCCGGGCAACGAAGGAGTGGCTTCGTAAGAAGCATTTCAAGGTCCTGGAGTGGCCTAGCCAGTCTCCAGATCTCAACCCCATAGAAAATCTTTGGAGGGAGTTGAAAGTCTGTGTTGCCCAGCGACAGCCCCAAAACATCACTGCTCTAGAGGAGATCTGCATGGAGGAATGGGCCAAAATACCAGCAACAGTGTGTGAAAACCTTGTGAAGACTTACAGAAAACGTTTGACCTGTGTCATTGCCAACAAAGGGTATATAACAAAGTATTGAGAAAGTTTTGTTATTGACCAAATACTTTTTTTCCACCACAATTTGTAAATAAATTCATAAAAAATCCTACAATGTGATTTTCTGGATTTTTTTCCCTCATTTTGTCTGTCATAGTTGACGTGTACCTATGATGAAAATTACAGGCCTCTCTCATCTTTTTAAGTGGGAGAACTTGCACAATTGGTGGCTGACTAAATACTTTTTTTCCCCACTGTAGCTGTCAACACATCAAACATGTTGACACATTTATGCCGACATCACCCCAGTATTCCTACCACCTGAGCAAGACGGAAAGGCAAAAATCAGCACAAGTTTGTCTCCCCTCTGCATTCAAGCAACCCTTCACAGTTGATTCTGACCGGCCAAAGAAATTACAAGAGTGATAGGTATGTTTATAGCCATGGATATGCGCCCATTCTCAGTGCTGGAGAAGAATGGGGGGTTTCAACACCTCGTGAAAGTGCTCGAGCCACGTTATGAACTTCGTCCTCTCGCACCCATTTCAGCAAACAGCTAGTACCCGCTCTATATAAGCAAGATAAAGCTGAAGTTGTCAATTAATTGGCCAATGCACCCTGTGTTGTGCTTACTACAGATGGATGGATCTCCAGGGCTACAGAGAGCTACTTAACAGTGACATCTCATCACATTACTCTGGAGTGGGAAATGAGATGTACCGTGATACAGACAAGCCCCGTTTATGAGAGTCACAAAAGCTGCGCATATTTTTTATTTTGTAAGAAAACATTATAGCATAGGCCTATACAATGTCTGAGCCATGTTTATATATTGATATCACACGCATATTGCACTTTATTTTAGTGTTAAGTAATTGTGTGTTTTCATTTGTTATAGAAAATACAAAGTGTTGTTATTCCTGACTGTGCTCTCATCAGGTATTATAGGCCTCATGATCATATATGGAATTAGGAACACCAACGCATTGTATTTTCTTAACAAAAATTAAATACAGTAACTGTCGCCCTTTCATTTTCCCGCTGTCCCGAAACCGAACCATGACCCCAAAACCGCAATACGTATCGAACCGTGGGTTTGGTGAATCGTACACCTCTAACACATACTGTAGACTCTAAAATGAGCCAGACACAGAAATCGGCATAGTCACAAGTGACCCATTTTAATCAAGGTAATATCATATCATTAAGAAATGTTCTGTATTGCATCAGCCACTGATAGTCCTGCTAAAGCTCAGCAGTATGACTGGAACCACAGACACCAGCTAGCTAGGTCTTGGCAGGGTAGCCGTGGCAGTGGAGATCGAGGTTAATTGTCCACCATCACACAGTTTGGAGAGCATCCCGCCAGCCAGCCAAGCCATCTAACACTGGACATGATTAAATACCCTGCCTCCTGTTATTGTTTACATTCCGAGGGGGAAGAAAGTCTCGGTAAACCCCAGAGGATCACAAAGCAAAATTCAGAAGAGGAAGAAGTCATCCTTTTTGGTGGGTTTTCCCCCCAAAGCCAACCCAACAGCAGCTGTCAGAGAGTGAGAGATGGAACTGACTGGAGGCCAGGGTAGACAGCTGGATCTGAGGTCATGTCCCTCTGGGCGCCAGTAAGAGTCTTGACAACAACAAAAAAACACAGATTAGAAAACTATTATAACTCAGTTTAAATGAGATTCCCAGGCCAATGTGCGTGTCATAAAATCTGGGGGACGGTTTTCTGGACCGCGATCAGCGGAGAGAGGGAGTGGGAAAAAAAAGTTATTCACATCAACACCCAATGGGACATTGGGAGATTGCGATTTTGCTAACTGGGCACCTTGCAATAACGAATGCAGAAATATAAATATTTTGCAAAAAGTGACAGACTGAAAAGGACAGATTGTATATTCTCCAAAAATATTGCTTAATCCCACCTCTACTAAAAACAACAATCAGATACGTGTCCTGCTGATATGAGTGGACGGCAAGCTGGCACAGCTTCAGAAAAGGACTAGAGCTTTCCATGACAGAGCCCAGTAGGTGTGGCAAGAGTGGCTGTTGCTCAGTCTTGTTTACATTTCAGCAATATCCATAACTGAGCTTAATCTTGATCATACATTAACATTACAGCATCGACACTCACACCAACGAGACGCAACATCAGAGTTCTTCTGTTTAGCTTGGGGACAGGAGGGACTGAGACCTCTAGCTGTTTGTGTTATCTGGTGGGGGGGTTCTACTAAGCTAACAAGATGGTCATACCATGGATCATTTAGCTATTTGATTTTAGGACCCCTGTAGGTACACTATATATACAAAGTATGTGGACACTCCTTCAAATTAGTGGATTCGGCTATTTCAGCCACACCCGTTGCTGACAGATGTATAAATCACTGGAGTGATGAATCACGCTTCACCATCTGGCAGTCCGACGGACGAATCTGCGTTTGGCGGATGCCAGGAGAACGCTACCTATCCCAATGCGAGCCAGGCCTAATCGCCCAACATCAGCGCCCGACCTCACGAATGCTCTTGTGGCTGAATGGAAGCAAGTCCCCGCAGCAATTTTCCAACATCTAGTGGAAAGCCTTCCCAGGAGATTGGAGGCTGTTATACAGTGGTGTAAAGTACTTAAGTAAAAATACTTTAAAGTACTACTTAAGTCGTTTTTTGGGGTATCTGTACTTTACTTTACTATTTATATTTTTGACTACTTTTACTTTTACTTCACTACATTCCTTAAGAAAATATTGTACTTTTTACTCCATACATTTTATTTGACACACAAAAGTACTCGTTAAATTTTGAATGCTTAGCAGGACAGGAAAATAGTCAAATTCACGTACTTATCAACCGAACATCCCTGGTCATCCCTACTGCCTCTGATCTGGCGCACTCACTAAACTCACATGCTTCGTTTGTAAATTATGTCTGAGTGTTGGAGTGTGCCCCTGGCTTTCCGTAAATTTATAAAACAAGGAAATGGTGCCATCTGGTTTGCTTAATATAAGGAATTTGAAATGATTTATACTTTTGATACTTAAGTATATTTTAGCAATTACATTTACTTTTGATACTTAAGTATATTTTAAACCAAATACATTTAGGCTTTTACTCAAGTAGAATTTTACTGGGTGACTTTTACCTTTACTTAAGTATGACAGCTGTTATAGCAGCAAAGGGAGGACCAATTTCATATGAATGCCCATGATTTTGGAATGAGATGTTTCGACGAGCAGGTGTCCACATACTTTTGGTCATGTAGTGTATTTGATAAAATACAGAATTTGGCATTTACTAATATAGCACATAGAAACGCATTGAATAACACATTCATAAATGGCAAAACAGACAGTCAAAATATAAATCATAAGGAATCAGGTTTTACATTTACATTTAGTCATTTTAAGAAAAAGGTTTTGAAGCTCATATTAGTTTGTAGCCGAAACGGTTCGGACGCTACACACAGAAGTTGGCACATCGGCGGTACCAACTTCAGACAAGTCCTGTTGGGCTTGTGGGGAAACCTTTCGGACGCTACAGACGTTTTCGTGAGAAGACCGATTTTCGGGATGTCTCATGGTCTGACGAACACCGCTGTAGCTCAGCCGCCTTCCACCGCAGATGCGGAAGTCCGACATAGGCAGATGTGGTGAATTGAGACGCTGCCCATGCAAAAAACAGATATCTCTAGCTTAAATTGACGGATTCTGATGGGGATTTTTTTATTATGTTACTTAGATTGGCGCACAGGTGCATAAATAGACTCTTAAGGATTATTAATTAAATGGAAACTCAGAGAGACAGGTCCAACAATCCATCTCAACATGGCCAGCCATCCCAGACCTGTCTCCAGTTTGACTTCTCCCCCCACTTTTTTTCCACAACCTAATGTACTCCCTTCTCTTCTCACATAGTTGGATGGTGTAGTGACTAGTCTCTCCATAGACAGAGAGACAGCTGGTGAAGAGTTCACACACTTGCAATCTGAAATGACGCTCTACCTCCATTGACCTTCCACTGTGTCGGGAAAATACATTTACCATAGGGTGACTCACTCTCACACACCAGACAGACCAGACAGGAACTTTCCCTTTTCTCTCCAACGACTCCCCTCTCCTGTGTTGATGTTTCCACAACAAGATGGACGCCTGCTTGATATTTATGTTCCTAAGTCTTTTTTCGCAGCCGGCGGATTGTCAGACAGATTGGGGGGGGGGGGAGAGCTGAGAGTAATCTACAGGGACAGTGTATTTCAAGTATTTTCCTATACTGTAGTTATGGATGGGAGATGGTTTTATCACCAGTGGTGGTGGGGGTGTGGTCCAGGCACCTGTCTAATACCAGAGAGTGATGAACAGGGCCAGTAGAGGTATTCACTTAATCATTCATGCGGAGGCAGACATAGTGTTGGCTTGGCACCAAACATGCAGGCACACACTTACATACCCCACATGCACACCCGCGAGCGCACCCCCATACACAATAATATAATATATGCCATTTAGCAGACACTTTTAACTACAGCAAATTACAGCATGCGTGCATACATTTTACGTATGGGTGGTCCTGGGAAGCGAACCCACTACCCTGGCTTTACAAGCGCCATGCTCTACCAACTGAGCTATAAAGGACCACTTCTCACTCTGTCACTCTAAAAACATGTGGTGAAATCCTTATGACTACTGCATATAACAGCCTGGCCATACATAACACCACACATAGCAAACTACTGTTCTGCAGCCATGCTAGATCTCACATGGAGTGAAACATCGACATGGGGTCTGCTGCATGAGATGACGCATCGTTAGACTGCTGGCGTCAAACCTTCCCACTACATCCAATCCATCTGTTCAGTATTTGCAATGTAAATTACACCTATGCATCCCAAATGGCACCCTATTCCCTATATAGTGCACTACTTGACCAGAGCCATAGTCAAAAGACGTACAATAAATAGGGATAAGGGTAGTATTTGGGGGGGACACACTGACTGTACTGTATAAAACATGTTGTAGTCGTCAGCTTTGATTAATTTAGCGTACAAACCACATTAGGATCTGGATGTTACATAGACATAATGATTAAGCCATTTACTCATGAGGCATAGACATCATGCGGTCCCACCCAAGCCTGCTGCCTACAGTTCTTGGGCCACATTCAATCTGTTCAATATTCTTTGCAATGATATTCTCAATATATACAGTGCATTCGGAAAGTATTCAGACTCCTTGACTTTTTCCACATTTGGAGCGCTCTGGAGCAGGTTTTCATCAAGGATCTCTCTGTACTTTGCTCCGTTCATCTTTCCCTTGATCCTGACTAGTCTCCCAGTCCCTGCTGCTGAAAAACATCCCCACAGCATGCTGCTGCCACCACCATGTTTCACCATAGGGATAGTGACAGGTTTCCTCCAGACGTGATGCTTGGCATTCAGGCCTGTCACGGATTCTGCCGAGGCTGCTCCTCCTCCTTGCTCGGGCAGGCTTCGGCGTTCGTCGTCCCCGGAGTACTAGCTGCCACCGTTGGATGTTTCGATGTTTGTTGGGTTTGGTCTGTCTGTTGCACCTGTGTCCGTTTGTGTCTAATTATGTGTCCTATACGTTTTCTGCTTTGTGTATGTGAGTTTGTGTGTTGTTGTCCGCCTGTCCGTTGATGTCAGAGTTTTGTGCTCATTTAGTTAGTGTTTTACGCACTGCTTGCGTAATCTCTCGCCTCCAGTGTTTGAGGCCCGTTTATTTTTGTATTGTATATTTGACTAGTAAAGTCTGTTTGACTGAGCTTCTGTGTCCTGCGCCTGACTCCGACTCCGCATCCACATCAGCCCCATTGACAAGGCCAAAGAGTTGAATCTTGGTTTCATCAGGCCTGATTGGTGGAGCGCTGCAGAGATGGTTGTCCTTCTGGAAGGTTCTCCCATCTCCACAGAGGAACTCTAGAGCTCTGTCAGAGTGACCATCAGGTTCTTGGTCACCTCCCTGTCCAAGGCCCTTCTCCCCCGATTGCTCAGTTTGGCTGGGCGGCCAGCTCTAGGAAGAGTCTTGGTGGTTCCAAACATCTTCAATTTAAGAATGATGGAGGCCATTGTGTTTTTGGGGACCTTAAATGCTGCAGAAATTTTTTGGTACTCTTCCCCAGATCTGTGCCTCGACACAAATCTGTTTCGGAGCTCTACGGACAATTCCTTGGCTTGGTTTTTGCTCTGACATGCACTGTCAACTGTGGGACCATATATAGACAGGTGTGTGCCTTTCCAAATCATGTCCTATCAATTGAATTTACCACAGGTGGACTCCAATCAGGTTGTAGAAACATCTCAAGGATGATCAATAGAAACAGGATGCGCCTGAGCTCAATTTCGAGTCTCAAAGCAAAGAGTCTGAATACTGTTTTCACTTTGTCATTATGGGGTATTGTGTGTAGATTGCTGAGGAAATTGTTGATTTAATCCATTTAGAATAAGGCTGTAATGTAACAAAATGTGGAAAAAGTCAAGGGGTCTGAATACTTTCCGAAGGCACTGTATATATATTAGGGGATTTACAGCCAAACAACCATCAACTTAGTGAATACCATTGGTGTTTAATATGAAGGTTTCAGCATGAAATGTCCTTTATATTTTTTTACACACTTTTATTTATTTTACTATGTCAATTTCTTTGTTGTAAAAATGTTGGCGCCAAACTGGTGGCAGACAGATAAATACCTCTGAAGCATTCAGCCAAACAAGTTTGCATCCTAGATACAGATCCCCAGAGCATTGTAAATCCCCTTGAGCTTCGAGTAAGACACCCTGCTATTACCCTCCATAAAGATGAATATATATATATATATATACACACACACAGATTTAATGTAAGAGGTAATATTGGATAATGGTGTCTGCCAAATAGATGGATAATGATAACAGATGGGTTACGGAGCACCAGCCCATCAGTGGAGGAGGATGAATCAGGGAAATGAATAGCTGAAGGCATACATCAACATTGATTTGCTGTGTTCTATCACATAGAGGTAGACTCTAGGTCTGTCTGGCTCTTTTCTCTCTGTGTCTATTGTATTTGACTTGTTTCTGACAAGACTTACCTTTTGAAATAGATTGAAAAAGCCTAATGTGCAGACAGACAGTATATTGAATGGTTTGCTTCTCTTTCCGTCTCTCTCCCATCCCTACCTCATAATGAGATGCTTTTATCTGGGCTCCAGTGTTACAAGGTTTTCTTGTATTTCTGGTTTGTTATGTCATCGGAATAATCCATTGTGCTATTGATATAAATCCTTCTAGGTACAATAATCTAGTCACAATACACACACCATTCTAGGGTTGCAAAGAGAGGGTATATTACTGGTACCTTTTGAAGTTTAGAGGTAAACTACCAGGTTTTGGGGGATTTTTATCACATGACATCTAGTGGCCTTTTTGGGTATGTCTATAATTATCTCTGGCCCTCTGAGTGGCCTTATCACATGTAAAATAATCAAATAAGAGAATGGCAAAGCTGTAAAACATTATGCTAAATGTAAACCATCAGCTTAGTGAGGTTTCAGCATGAAAGGTTTCAGCATGAAATCTTTTTACACACTTTAATTTATTTTACTATGTCAATGTCTTTGTTGTAAAAGTTTTGGTGCCAAACTGGTGGCAGTTGTGAAAAAAGTCAATAGTTGGAAGAGTTGTAGAGCTTATTAAAAATAATGCCATTGTTGATTAGATGCTTTTTTCATAACATTTCTCTTGAACCATATGGTCTATCCACTAGAAACTCATGGACAATATGGACACAAAAAAAGAATACTATATATGAATATTTATGTTTGTTTATAAATGACCAAAGATACCATAGATTCCCATAGATTACCTGTTAATTACCAAAATTACCAAAAGTTCCTGTAACTTTCGTAAATTACCAGTAGTTTTGCAACACTACACCAGTCACAACACACGTGTAAATAAAGGCATATACAGAGCACAATACATCTGGGCCAACAACCTGGTTGGATTGGATTACAGACAAGACAGACAGACAAAAGAAAAGTAGCTAGGTTATACCATTTTTCCCCAAACCAATCCATCCCAGCATCCCGTAGCTGAGGAAGCTCCCAACACTAGAATGGTCGGAAAGAGGAAATCCTTTCGGAATGGAAAGCATAGAGGAGTGGAGTGGGACGGGACAGAGCAGAGCAGAGCAGGGCGCTGATTCATAAAGAAAAATAAATAGATAAAATAAAACAAAAACAGAGTGAAAGTGCAGACAAAGCAGGTTGTGCGGGCCAGTTTCCTTCATAAAACAAGCCCATGTCTTTCTGCTGGCCAGAGCATCAGAGGCCCCCTTCTCACTCGGACCATTACCCAGAAGCACCGGCGCTGACGCCGTCGGCCTGGCTTGTCCATCGGGGCACGGGTGGGAAGGGGCAGGGTGGTTGCGAGGCACACACACACACTTCCTGCCCCCAGTGCTGGCACACAGACAAGCTCTCACAGGAACAAAGCGCAAGAGACATATGTATGTATGTGTGTGTGTGTGTGTGTGTGTGTGTGGTCTTGTTCTTCTATCCTCGTGAGGACCTGAAATCCCAAAATGTCCCCACAAGGATAGTAAAACAAGGAAAAGTCTCCCTCGTGGGGACATTTTCCATGTCCCCATGAGGACATGGCCTATTTTAAGTTTAGGCGTTAGGTTAGGTTTAGGGGTTAGGCGTTAATGAAAACCGGATTTTGAATTGAAATGTATTTTAGGTCCCCACGAGGATAGAAAAAGGAGCGTGTGTGTGTGTCAGCACTGAATGTAGAAATCACACTGTGTGTGCAATAGACATACGGTGCCCTAACTCCCATTTATCTGTTTATGACATCATGGTCAAAACAAAAGTGTGACACTATTTCCAAAAGGTCGATAGGAAGTGAAAAATGCACCCTTTCACTGATGCCAATTTTATTTTGTTATTTCAACACGACTGTTTGGTTATTTCTCTTTGAAGAGACTGTAACTGGGCTACAGCCAGATTATTCCCTTAACTCTATTTTGAGTATACATATTTCACAGGCAGAGAACTACAATAACTGCACTGGTTAGAATAGATTCAAACTAGGCCTGACCATCAACACGGGGGCCCCTCAGTGGTGCGTGCTTAGTCTCCTTCTGTACACCCCTGTTCACCCATGGCTGTGCACGACTCCAACACCATCATTAAGTTAGCTGACGACACAACGGTGGTAGGCCTGATCACCGATGACGATAAGACAGCCTATAGGGAGGAGGTCAGTGACCTGGCAGTGTGGTTCCCTCAACGTCAGCAAGACAATGGAGCTGATGGTGGACTACAGGAAATGGAGGCCCAAGCATGCCCCCATCCACATCGACGGGGCTGTAGTGGAGCGGGTCGGGAGCTTCAAGTTCCTCTGGTGTCCACATCACTAAGGAATTAACATAGTACACACACATCAACACAGTCGTGAAGAAGGCACGACAATGCCTCTTCCCCCTTAGGAGGATGAAAAGATTTGGACTGGGCCCTCAGATCCACAAAAAGTTATACAGCTGCACCACTGAGAGCATCTTGACTGTCTGCATCACCGCTTGGTATGAAAACTGCTTGGCATCCGACCACAAGGCGCTACAGAGGGTAGTGCGTACGGCCCAGTACATTACTGGGTCCGAGCTCCCTGCCATTCAGGACCTCTATACCAGGCGGTGTCAGAGGAAGGCCCTAAAAATTGTCAAAGACTCCAGCCACCCAAGTCATAGACTGTTCTCTCTGCTTCCGCACGGCAAGCAGTACCAACGCACCAAGTCTGGAAGCAACAGGACCCTGAACAGCATCTACCCCCAAGTCATAAAAATGCTAAATAGTTACTTAAATAGTTAACCAAATAGCTATCTGCATTGACACCCTTTGCACTAACTCTTGACTCGTCACATACGCTGCTGCTACTGTTTATTATCTTTCCTGTTGTCTAGTCACTACCTACACTATCAGTCAAAAGTTTGGACACACCTACTCATTCAAGGTTTTTTCTTAATTTTTTCTATGTTTTACATTGTAGAATGATAGTAAAGACATCAAAACTATGAAATAACACATATGGAATCATTTAGTAACCAAAAAAGTGTTAATTGAAAAAAAGGGTCCGATCCTTAAGGTTTAACAAATCAAGGTTAAACAAATCAAATACCACCCTTTGCCTTGATGACAGCTTTGCACACTCTTGGCATTCTCTCAACCAGCTTCATGAGGTAGTCACCTGGAATGCATTTCAATTAACAGGTGTGCATTCTTAAAAGTTAATTTGTGGAATTTCTTCTTAATGAATTTCAGCCAATCAGTTGTGTTGTGACAAGGTAGGGTGGGGGGGGGTATACAGAAGATAGCCCTATTTGGTAAAAGACCAAGTCCGTATTATGGCAAGAACAGCTCAAATAAGCAAAGAGAAACGACAGTCCATCATTACTTTAAGACATGAAGGTCAGTCAATACGGAACATTTCAAGAACATTGAAAGTTTCTTCAAGTGCAGCCGCAAAAACCATTGAGCGCTATGATGAAACTGGCTCTCATGAGGACCGCCACAGGAATGGAAGACCCAAAGTTACCTCTGTTGCAGAGGAGTTATCGGCTTCAGGAATTGCAGCCCAAATAAATGCTTCACAGAGTTCGAGTAACAGACACATCTCAACATCAACTGTTCAGAGGGGACTGTGTGAATCAGGCCTTCATGGTCGAATTGCGGCAAAGAAACCACTACTAAAGGACACCAATAAGAAGAAGAGACCTGCTTGGGCCAAGAAACACGAGCAATGGACATTAGACTGGTGGACATTTGTCCTTTGGTCTGGAGTCCAAAATTGAGATTTTTGGTTCCAACCGCCGTGGCTATATGAGACGCGGTGTGGGTGAACGGATGATCGCCGCATGTGTATTTCCCACTGTAAAGCATGGAGGAGGAGGTGTTATGGTGTGGGGGTGCTTTGCTGGTGACACTGTCTGTGATTTATTTAGAATTCAAGGCACACTTAACCAGCATGGCTACCATAGCATTCTGCAGTGAAACGCCATCCCATCTGGTTTGGGTTTAGTGGGACTATCATTTGTTTTTCAACAGGACAATGACCCAACACACCTACAGGCTGTGTAAGGGCTATTTTACCAAGAAGCGGAGATATGGAGTGCTGCATCAGATGACCTGGCCTCCACAATCCCCCGACCTCAACCCAATTGAGATGGTTTGGGATGAGTCGGACAGCAAAGTGAAGGAAAATCAGCCAACAAGTGCTCAGCATATGTGGGAACTCCTTCAAGACTGTTGGAAAAGCATTCCAGGTGTAGCTGGTTGAGAAAATGTCAAGAGTGTGCAAAGCTGTCATCAAGGCAAAGGGTGGCTGTTTGAAGAATCTCAAATATAAAATATATTTTGATTTGTTTAACACTTTTTTGGTTACTACATGATTCCATATGTGTTATTTCATCGTTTCGATGTCTTCACTATTATTCTACAATGTAGAAAATAGTAAAAATAAAGAAAAACCCTTGAATGAGTAGGTGTGCCCAAACTTTTGACTAGTACTGTATACAGTTGAAGTCGGAAGTTTACATACACTTACGTTGGAGTCATTAAAACTAGTTTTTCAACCACTCCACAAATTTCTTGTTAACAAACTATAGTTTTGGCAAGTCGGTTAGGACATCTACTTTGTGCATGACACAAGTAATTTTTCCAACAATTGTTTACAGACAGATTATTATTATTAACAAAATTGTAGACCTCCACAAGTCTGGTTAATCCTTGGGAGCAAATTCCAAATGCCTGAAGGTACCACGTTCATCTGTACAAACAATAGTACGCAAGTATAAACACCATGGGACCCCGCAGCCGTCATACCGCTCAGGAAGGAGACGCGTTCTGTCTCCTAGAGATTAACGTACTTTGGTGTGAAAAGTGCAAATCAATCCCAGAACAACAGCAAAGGACCTTGTGAAGATGCTGGAGGAAACAGGTACAAAAGTATCTATATCCACAGTAAAACGAGTCCTACATCGACATAACCTGAAAGGCCGATCAGCAAGGAAGAAGCCACTGCTCCAAAACTGCCATAAATAAAGCCAGACTACGGTTTGCAACTGCACATGGGGACATTTTGGAGAAATGTCCTCTGGTCTGATGAAACAAAAATAGAACTGTTTGGCCATAATGACCATCGTTATGTTTGGAGGAAAAATGGGGAGCGCTTGCAAGCCAAAGAACACCATCCCAACCGTGAAGGGGCTGGCAGCATCATGCTGTGGGGGTGCTTTGCTGCAGGAGGGACTGGTGCACTTAGATACAAAATAGATGGCATCATTAGGAAGGAAAATGATGTGGATATATTGAAGCAACATCTCAAGACATCAGTCAGGATGTTAAAGCTTGGTCGCAAATGGGTCTTCCAAATGGACAATGACCCCAAGCATACTTCCAAAGTTGTGGCAAAATGGCTTAAGGACAACAAAGTTAAGGTATTGGAGTGGCCATCACAAAGCCCTGACCTCAATCCTATAGAACATTTGTGGGCAGAACTGAAAAAGTGTGTGTGAGCAGGGAGCTCTGTCAGGAGGAATGGGCCAAAATTCACCCAACTTATTGTGGGAAGCTTGTGGAAGGCTACCCGAAACGTTTGACCCAAGTTAAACAATTTAAAGGCAATGCTACCAAATACTAATTGTGATAAAATAAATAAAAGCTGAAATAATTCATTCTCTCTATTATTATTCTGACATTTCACATTCTTAAAATAAAGTGGTTATCCTAACTGACCTAAGACAGTGCATTTTTACTAGGATTAAATGTCAGGAATTGTGAAGAACTGAGTTTAGATGTATTTGGCTAAGGTGTATGTAAACTTCCGACTTCAACTGTATGTACATATCTACCTCAATTACCTCGTACCCCTGCCATTATCGTTACTCATTGTGTATTTATTATCTCTCTTTTGTTGTTTTTTTTCTCTGCATTGTTGTGAAAGGCCCTTAAGAAAGCATTTCACAGTTAGTCTACACCTGTTGTTAAGGAAGCATGTGACAAATACAATTTCATTTGACTTGAACAACTAATACATATTTTAACATAGAAACAACCACAACCCTTGTTTCCTCATGCCGGAGCGCAGCTCTTTTAGACAGACTTATTCTTAAACCTGACAGATTGCAGTCAACAGCCTAGATATGAAGGTACCCCAGCCTAGCGCAAACAGTTTACGGAGAGGAAGTGAAAAACTAAGGAAGTGGCGAGGCAAGCAGGGAAACAGCCTAGGGCCAAAACAGTGCAGGCAGGGCTGCATAGTCAGTCAGACCAGGCATATGGATGGGAGGAAAAGGATGGTGCTATCTGTAGTTCCATCTGTGTAGGCCAGGTGGCAGAGAGGAGAGAGAAACACCTTTCATTAACCTTGACCTTCCTCCTGTTGTTGCTGATGCTGACACACTGACCTCAGATCAGAAGATAAGCCGATGGTAAAACAACACACTGACAGAGCTTTAAAGTAAGAATAATACAGTAGCCTAATACTGCACAAAGGTTGGTGCAGTTAGTTTTGTCTCTGATTGCTTCAGACAATGGATATTTCAAGGAGGGGTATAAGATACCAAACCTGGGTGGCCGCTTTTCCGTATTCAGAGCTATTCTGGGAGCCTTACTGCAGTAATATAAAACACTTTCTCTAAATCCTTAGTCTTTATTGAACAGAGCACTGTGTCTTGAACATAGAGAAGACATGGGTTGGGGTCAATTCTATTTAAATTCCAGTCAATTCAGAAAGTAAACCAAATTCCAATTTCCAATTTTCCTAATTGAAAAGCATTCAATAGAATTGAAATGTCAGTGTACTTCCTGAATTGACTGGAATTGAAATGTTATTGACCCCAACCCTGATGTAAGGTTTGAATAGAGAGTTGGTGATGTCACTGAGGGGCTTCGGTCAAATAGTACTTCACACACCTACTGTACAACACATTGGATCCCAGTGATCCCCTCAATGAAATGCCACAGCACTCTGAGGCCTCTCTCTCTGCTCAGGTCCTGTCCTGTCCAACATAACCAGCCAAAGGGAAGCCAATAACACCACATAATATTGCAATCTTAGGAAACCCACTGTCTGAATGAAAAGGAAAGATTAAATAAAAACACTAGGAATGTCAATTAATCAAATGTTACACTATGCTTGAAAATATGGAGAGTGGTACTCAGTAATGTGTTGTATTGGATTTGCCCCAAACATAACACTTTGTATTCAGGACAAAAACATAATTGCAGTATTACTTTAGTGCCTTGTTGAAAACAGGATGCATGTTTTGAATATTTTTATTATGTACAGGCTTCCTTCTTTTTTCTCTGTCAATTAGATTAGTATTGTGGAGTAACTACAATGTTGTTGATCCATCCTCAGTTTTCTCCTATCACAGCCATTAAACTCTGTTTTAAAGTCCATGACTGATTATATTTTACATTTTAGTCATTTAGCAGACGCTCTTATCCAGAGCGACTTACAGGAGCAATTAGGGTTAAGTGCCTTACTCAAGGGCACATCGACAGATTTTTCACCTAGTTGGCTCAGGGATTAGAACCAGCGACCTTTCGGTTACTGGCACAATGCTCTTAACCACTAAACTACCTGCCGCCAGGAAGGACAACTGTATCTTTGTAGAGACTGGGTGTATTGATACACCATCCAAAGTGTAATTAATAACTTCACCATGCTCAAAGGGATATTCAAGGTATATGCTTTATACATTTTTTACCCATCTACCAATAGGTGCCCTTCTTTGCGATGCATTGGAAACACTCCATTATATTTGTGGTTGAATCTGTGTTTGAAATGCACTGCTCAACTGAGGGACCTTAAAGATAATTGTATGTGTGGGGTACAGAGATGAGGTAGTCATTTAAAAAATAATTGTAAACACTATTGTTGCCCATAGAGTGAGTCCATGCAACTTATTATGTGACTTGTTAAGCAAATTATTACTCCTGAACATATTTAGGCTTGCCATAAGAAATGGGTTGAAGACTTACAGTAGACTCAATACATTTCAGCTTTTCATTTCTAATTAATTTGTAAACATTTCTAAAAACATAATTCCACTTTGACATTATGGGGTATTGTGTGTAGATAAGTGACACAAAATCTCAATTTAATCCATTTTAAATTCAGGCTGTAACACAACAAAATGTGGAAAAAGTCAAGGGGTGTGAATACTTTGTGAAGGCACTGTATGTTGGGATTAGGGATGCCATTTCAGACACAGCCTTTTTCTTACTCACGATATGGCCAGGGAGGGCCAAATAAACATGCTGGTCTGGGACAATCTCACAATGATTAACCATGATAGCAGGAAAATCAAAACATGAAGGCAAAAGGGCATTAACTGTCTGTCCCATCCAAATGAATCAAGACTACAAGGAGCTTTGATGATTACAAGGAGGTGTGGGGTTGGTATAGTGATTTGGTTTGTTTACTTTGAGACAGTTCCATGTGTAGTAGAGGCACCACATGCTATTGATTTGACATTCTTAATATGTCATGCTGCTGGAGTTGTTGTTGTAGAACTCAGGGTTCTGACCCAAATGGCACTCTAGTCCCTACAAAGTGCACTACTTTTGACCAGAGCCATATGGACCCCCGTCAAAAAGTGCACTGTATAGGGAAAAGGAACAGGGTGCCATTTGGGACGCAGACAGAATGATCTTCGACTGCATCTGGCTAATTCTAATGAAAACAGTACTTCATCATCTGTTGGCCAGCCAAGGGGGGAAATATGAAGGAGCAGCAGTGCAGCACATGTTCAGAAAATTTGATGAGACAGTTACAAAGGGAATACACTGCCCCCTTCTGGTTTCGGAGAGAAGTGCAATATTCACAGCACTTTTGTGTGACTCAACCAGAGATACTGTACTGTACAATAAGTCTGAATTAATTTAAGCTGCAGAAGTAATGTGCAGGCATATTATACAGTAATATCAAAATATATGCTACTTCAAGGTAATACCAAGTTTTTTTTAAGAAGCAACGAGCGCATGCAATAATATATCGGACGTGGATAGGAGTTCTGTTCAAAATCAAATCAAATCCAATTTTATTTGTCACATGTGCCGAATACAACAGGTGTAGACCTTACAGTGAAATGCTTACTTACAAGCCCTTAACCAACAATGCAGTTTTAAGAAAGAATACCAAAAAAAAACAAAAAAATACAATATAAAATAATACTAAATAAAAGTAACAAATAATTAAAGAGCAACAGTAAAAATAACAATAGCGAGGCTTTATACAGGGGGTACCGGTACCGAGTCAATGTGCGGGGGCACCAGTTAGTCAAGGTAATTGAGGTAATATGTACATGTAGGTAGAGTTATTAAAGTGACTATGCATAGATAATAAACAGAGAGCGTAAAAGAGGGGGGGGGGGTAGAAGCTGTTTAGAAGCCTCTTGGACCTAGACTTGGCGCTCCGGTACCGCTTGCCGTGCGGTAGCAGAGAGAACAGTCTATGACTAGGGTGGCTGGAGTCTTTGACAATTTTTAGGGCCTTCCTCTGACACCGCCTGGTGTAATGTATGCACTTAACTGTGCATACATTACAGTATATAGTCTTTACTTCAATATAACTACAGGTGCGTTCAACAAGGGAAATAGTTCGCTAACGTTGGCTAACGTTAGCTAACATATTCCATTTGTTTTGTGTTAGCCACTAACGTTAGCTAACAGTCTGAGAAGATAATGTGCAGCGAAAATAAGTGTCTGTTTCGGGTGTAAACTGCCGCTAAAAATAATAATGTGGCCATATAGACTTTCTACTATATTTAGTAGAAATAGCTAAGTTGTTTTCAGTTTGAATATTGTCGCTAAAAAGCCACAGTAATCCTTACAAAAAGTAGCTGTTGTGTTTCACCTAACATTTTGGAATGTTCATTCAAATCATTCAACTGAAATTGTTACTCTGGCAACATGCTTGCAGCAAACAGGCCTTGTTGAACTGGCCTCAGTATTAGATCAGGGTTTACCTCATCCACCAGCTGGTAGATCAGGACATGGCTTTATCACCCTGACAGACAGTTCTCTACTCACAACTTTTTGAGGGCTTTGATCATGTGGTTGATGAGTGTCTCCTGAGTCTGTCTCCCGTGACCTTGGTTCCTGTTCATTTCCTGGGACGCCTGGGACTCCTGGCTCTCACTGGCCTTCAGCTTCTCAGGGCCGGGAGCACTGGTGGGAACAATGACAAAAACAAAGACAACTTTTTTTAAGTTTATGGTCTGTTGGTCTGCACCTCACGATCATCAACTATTTTGACATGCCTCTCTAGCTCCTACCTGCTGTTGGGGAAATGACAGACACTAGCCTGGACAGGGTCATAGCCAACATGTTATATGTTTAAATGCACAATTTGAATAAAATAAAAACACATGCCAGTATGCTTTGTCATGAGTCAATAGGCCTGTATAGAAAATCTAAGTCTAAATATGGAATTTCCTATGTGATCATTTTCCTGGTTAATATTGCAGTACTATATTTCACATTATTTTCCTATCATGTCGACAATAACATTTCATTTCTGCATTGCGAAGGCATCATTATGTCAATAAGCAGCAGCATGCTGGGATAAACAGGCATGTTTTTTACTTAAGTCCTCTCAGGGGAAACACATCACATTGAGCATGTTTACTTTCTGTCAACCAGAGAGCTCCAGAGAGAGAAACACCCCACTGACCAACTCACTTAATTGAACTAGGTTAAGTTAAATTAAGTTAATCATAGAGGCATGTCCTATGTAGACTAATCCTATTAACAGTGCTTGACTTGGGCAGGAGCTCACCGGAGCAGAGTACAAGCAACTACCATGTTTTACTGCTTGAGCTCCTGTTTCTCTTATATACAGTAATATTAGCTAAAAAGTATTGTACAGCTCCTGCACCTAAATATAAACAATTCTCGCACCCAAAATGAGTATCGGCACCTATTTCAGTCCAAGTCAAGCACTGCATATTAATAGCATTCTCATGGCAAGGCCTTTTCAAGCGGCCCAACCCCAACTGAGAGCAGATCTATATTCACGCCAATTAAAGCTGTGACTCATATGTCACTGCCCACCATAACACACATTTCTACAGCAGCAAGTAGATGAAAGTAGCGCTTCCGTTTCCTTCCACTGTACCACATTATGTATTACTCAATGCATCTGTCTCTCTGTGAGTGGGTTTGTTGTTGTGTTGTCAAACCATGTTTGATTGACAGGTTTTACTACTGTGAGTCACTCCACTCCAGGGGACTTAGTAAAAACATCCCACGCTGCTTTTCGCTTGTTTGCCTTTTATTTATTTTTGTCGCTTAAAAGTTTGTCAAAGTTACAAAGTAAAATGTTATGAATATATTTTTTTATATTGTTCTTCTTCCACTATGGAGAGGTCTATTTCTTAAACGTTCTGTGAATTCATTACAGTGCAAAGTGAGATCTACATGTGTCACACCCTGGTTCTGGGACTCGTTATGTTGAGCCAGGGTGTGTGCATTCTATGTGTTTATTTCAATGTTGGTAGTTCTGTTGTGTCTATTTCTAGGTTGTTGTATGTTTGTATTGAGTGACTCCCGATCGGAGGTAACGAGTGTCAGCTGTCGGCTCGTTATCTCTGATTGGGAGCCATATTTATACTGTGTGTTTTCACCTTGGGGGTGTGGGTTTTTGTTCTGTGACGGTATGTTTAACCGTGGACTTCACGAATCGTGTTTTGTTTATATTTAGGAACTTTAATTAAATAAAGTCATGTTTATTTCACACGCTGCGCCTTGGTCTACTACTCCTTACCCAGACGATCGTGACAGAAAAACCCACCATCAAAGGACCAAGCAGCGTGTCCAGGAATCGGCAGCCTGGATGTGGGAGCAGCGTCGGAGGGACGAGAGGCACCCCCAAGAATTTTTTAGGGGGGGGCACAGGGCATGGACGACGGGGCTGACGGAGGCAGAGAAGGGGCGAATTCAAAAGGCCACCAGGTTACGGGGGCTACTGGTCAAAGTAGGGAAAGGAGGTGTAGAGGCACGGCGAGAGGTACTGGGGTGTATTACCAGTCCGGTCCGGCCCGTTCCAGTTCCCGGGGTAGAGCCAGTGGTGTGTGTCCCCAGTACGGTCCGGCCTGTTACGACCCCTCGCACCAAATGGACGGTGCGCGTCGCCAGCCCAGCCCGGCCTGTCCCTGCTCTACGCACTAAGCCTACGGGGTGCGTCGCCAGCCCTGTCCGGCCCAGTCCTGCTCCCCGCACCAAGTCTACGGTGTGCGTCGACAGCCCTGCCAGACCTGTTCCTGCCACCCGCACCAAGTCTACGGTGTGCGTCGCCAGCCCGACCCGGCCTGTTCCTGCCACCCGCACCAAACCTACGGTGCGCGTCGCCAGCCCGGTCCGGCCTGTTCCTGCCACCCGCACCAAGTCTACGGTGCGCGTCGCCAGCCCGACCCGGCCTGTTCCGGCCACTCGCACCAAACCTACGGTGCGCGTCGCCAGCCCGGTCCGGCCTGTTCCTGCCACTCGCACTAAGCCAGGGGTGCGAGAAGTCAGCCTGGTAAGGCCCGTTCCTCCTCCACGCACAAAGCCAGGGGTGCGAGAAGTCAGCCTGGTAAGGCCCGTTCCTCCTCCACGCACCAGGCCTACGGGGTGCGTCGTCAGCCCTGTCCGGCTCGTTCCTGCTCTCCGCACCAGGTCTGTGGTGCGCGTCGCCAGCCCATTCCGGTCCATTCCTGTTCCACGCACCATGCCAGGGGCGCGTGTCGTCAGTCCGGCTCCGGCCAGCGGGGCTAGACAGGACCAGGGGTACTGTGGGGGGTGTATCGGAGGGTGGTGGTCTAGGCCGGAGCCAGAACCGCCACCGAGGAGGTATGCCCGCCCGCTCTCCCTGTTGGGGTTTTGAGCGCGTCGCATCCGCCCTTAGGGGGGGGTACGTCCACGGTCGGGACCTTATGTGAGCAGGGTGTGTGATCTATGTTTTATTCATGTTGTAGTTCTGTTGTGTTATTTAGGTGTTGTATGTTTGTATGAGTGACTCCATCGAGGTACGAGTGTCACTCGGCTCTTATCTTGATGGGCCATTTTATACGTGTTTTTTCACTTGGGTTGGTTTTTGTTCTGCGGTATGTTTAAGACTTCACGAATCGTGTTTTGTTATATTTAGGAACTTTAATTAATAAAGTCATGTTTTTTCACACGCTGCGCTTGGTCTACTTCCTACAGACGAGCGTGACAACATGCACTTAGCTTTCTGGCTTAGGGAGTGAGTGAGCGCTTTGGCGAAAAGGTCCGCAGCTCGATCTCTTCGAGCTTAATCCGATTAATGGATGAGATGGAGAATTCTAATGACCGACCTCCTTGCATCAGTAAACATTGGAAAGGTATAAAATAGAGGTGCATCTGCACTAACCCTCACCCCCCCCCCCCCCCCCCCTCTCTCCATTTGGTTATTTACTACATGGAGAAACTTTAATCTTTTTAAAGCTGGATGCTACTGA